AAAACCTTTAATTTCTTGACACAGAGAATTTGACCTCTTTTAGCCACCAAGAAAGTACCACAACAGTCTGTTGGATTTAAGCAATAATCAATGACATTAAACACATGTAGATAACTATTGCTAAGGTCAAATGACCATGGAACGAAGAAGAAGAAGTCATTGCAAATGTCTCTCCTCTGTCAGGCTACCTCAACGTGCTGGTGAACAGCCAATGGCGGACCTGCTGGTGTCTTGTAAAGAAGGGGCAGCTATGGTTTTACCATGACAAGAGCAAGAACAAAGTGAGCCAGCCAGCAGTGAGTCTGGGGGGCTGCAGGGTCCTGCCCGACCCCATCCCCGAGCACCTGTACTCCTTCAGGATCAATATGGATGGCAGTCAGCTGGCCACCCTGGAGGTAAACCACCACTGTCTGTTGTGCTGCTTTGTAACATCCTGACAAATGTCTTGCATTACAGTAAATGGTTTGACACTGTTTATCACGTAAGAGTTTGACACCCTGACGTCTTTCTCGTCTTTTATCTAGTGGCGTACAAACTGTTTCCTGAAGATAATATGAGCAATTGCCTCAAGTCTAACTGGAGAAAAAAAACAACAGTCAGCAGAAATGGTGTCTACAGTTTATTATAGGAAACACTAACATGTCCTCATCTGGAATTGACTTTCTGCTGACATCTAACTTGTGTGTATTATATTTGTGCACACAAGGGTGGTCTGCGTGTTTGTGTGTGTTTTACTGAAGGGTGTGTATCCTCTGGGATTTCAGGGACTATTGCTCACGCCCTTATACATTAGGTTTCCAGTACCACCCTGCTACAGCGCATATTTGGTCCTAGGCCATGGAATCCAATGTTTAGTCTTAAAGGCTCTGACACCATTTTATGAGTCCTTTTTGCTTTCTAACAAAATGAAACTTCACAAGTTCAGTATTTACCAAAACTTCAGCAAGATTATCACCCATTGAATTCCTACAAAACTGGACCAAACCATTATGAGTTGCTTCACACAGTTTCTATTAGATGAGCTATTTGAATCCCCCAGAATAATAATAGCTGTTTATATGTATCAGAATAATGCGTTCCTAAACAGCATTTTCAAACACATTATTTAATTATCAAGAGACTGTAATTGCTAATGCTCAGCTGGGGACATGGTAACTCCTTAAAACATTTTGCATATTGAAATACTGCGGGCACCCATGCTGTTGAAATCTTTTCATTAAAATAAACCGACGCAGGGTATGCAACATTAACCATAAGCTTGGGACTCATAATGTTGCAAGTGCATGGTATGAACTAAATGCACTTTGATCTCCTCTTCTCTCAGGCTAAAACGTCTGCAGACATGGGCCACTGGCTGGGCCTCCTGCTGTCCCAGACGGGGAGCAAGACGGACCCCGAGGAGCTGACATACGACTACGTTAACGCTGAGAGAATCTCCAGCATCGTCAACGCTGCCAAGACTTCCTTATAGTAAGATCATCACTACTGCTGACTTTAATGTGAATGTATACTTTGGCCCGATATTCAAGTGGGACTTTTCTTTTTATGTCTCTCTAGCTTTATGCAGAGGAGGTATTCAGAGCCAAACAACTACATAGACACCCCCCCCTCCATGCCTCACAACTCTGATGAACTGTATGATGATGTGGCGTCTATAGCTGATCCAGAGGTATGGTATCCAGGAACAAAAACTTGAGATATTTTTCCATGCATATTCCTGTTTGTTGAGTCAAAGTTGAGTCAAAGTCACCTTTGAAATGTTATAAAATATGTTTACCCACAAACCAAAAAATCTTATTTAATTTGTAGAAAAAAGGACATTGATTCAGCATTAATGTCCACAAATATGCAAAATAAGATATGTTAATCTTAGAAAATTGTGATTTTTTTTCATGACTACCTTTTACAAGCTAGAAAACTAGTAAATACATGAATCATTAATGTTCATTTCAGTTTCATTTTTTACATTGTGTCCTCAATTTGGCTCCGTTCCACCTCATAACTTCCTGTTCCTGTGTAATACAGGATGCTGAAGAGTATGTCCTGCCAGAGAGTGAGGACAACAATCCTCAGGAACAATTTGAGACATGCACACAGGACAGCAAGGACTCAGAGGGAACAGAGCAGGACCCTGACAACAGGATTTACCTGGACCTGGTGCCTGTACGCTCCTTCCTCCATACGTCCTGCGGAGGTAAAGCCCCCGCTGCCAAAGAGACTTCTATAGAGTCCCCAGTCCCAGTAGAGGACCCAGCATCTCAAATAAAAGAGGTAGGTTATATCATTTAAAAACATATTTGATATTTTCTGAGCATAAATCACATATTTTGTTCCTACATTTTTTTTATTTCCAGGCCAACTCAACTAGCCACACAGAGCCAGATTTATCACCTGTGGTAAATGGAACAAGTTCGACCTCTATAACCAGCAAACCAGAACCAGAGCTACCCCAGACTCCCCCTCAGCCAGTCAAGACCTCGTCCCAGAGCCAGGAGACCCCCAAGAGGAATAGTGTGGGAATCTCACAGGCATTCACCTCCCCTGTGGTTCAGATCAATAAAGGTCAAACGGTTTCTACTGGACTCCCTCACAGTCCTGTCCCCCTGCGGCCCAAGGCACATACCATAGGTGAGGACGGAAAAACATTTTCAACTTTAACTGGAAAACCTCCTAAAATAATGTTTTATTGAGAAAAAGTAACTGTTGTCTTTACCATTGAGTTAGATAAACTGCTTCCCTTCCTCTGTATTCTTACATTACCATGGCTCCCCCTAGTGAAAAGCTGCGTCCTCTACACTCAAAGAAACACCTTCAAAACATAATGCAGATTTAAATTCCAAAAGAAACTAGCTTTTTAATCACAAATGCATATTTTTTTTCATTCTTGGCAATGGATTTGACCAAATGCTTTATTATTTGCTGAATTCAAAAGGTGTTTTCTCAGATTCAAAGTTTTTTTTAAGGGTTTTTAAAGACATGAATTGATAGCTGAACCACTGTTTCTTTGTTTGCTGTGTGGAAAAAGCTAACAAGGATTTGGATATTAAGATAGATCTAGATTTGGATTGTTATACTAGCTAAAAATGTACAATATTTAAATCTTTCTTTGATTCCCAGGATGTCCCGGTGCAGTGGAAGGGAAACTGGGCAAGAACCGCACAGAGGCAGATATGCGGCGCTACATCGATGAGCGCGACCGCCTGGAGCGAGAGCGGGAGGAGGTGAGGAGCAGTCTGGGAAACCTGAAGAAGGAGAGGAGAGAAACCAAAGAGGAGCTCAGCGCCTGCCAAGGTACATCTGCACTTCCTGTGACACACACTGAAGGTCATCACTGATCTGTGTGACTGACAGCTGCATGTTATCCTCAGATCCAAAGCAGCAGGCCTCATTAGAAGCCCGATTGAAGCAGAAGGAAGAGGCGTGTCGGGAGGCGGAGAACCGCAGGGTGGAGGTGGAGCTACGGTTGATGGAAGTAAAGGAAAGTCTGAAGAAGGTGGAGTCAGGGCCGTTCACACTCGGGACCACACTGGACAGCAGCCTCCAGGACTCACCTATGGTAAGTGTGCAGGTTATCAGAGGAAACATGATTTATATAAGCCTTTAAAGGTCTCCTATTATATTATTTGTAGGCATACATTATAGGTCTAAAATATATAAAAAACATGTCTATAAAGCGTTTTGCTCAAAATACCAAACAGATCACCCATTCTAGCCATGCCTCATACCCCTCTATTTCAGCCCTGTTAGAGAAGTGCTGATTCGGGGTCCTTAGCTCTGAGTGTTAGCGATGCTTGCTAATGTAAACACAGACCATATTACTTCCAAAATACGTCGCGCATAGTTTGTGATACAGCAACGTTTCTGATAGGGCCGTGGGTGTGAAGCCAGCCCACATTTCCGATATGTCGTAATGACCGCAGCAAATCTGGATCAGCTCCGTTGTACCCCCATTTTTAGAGATGTGGGCAAGGAGGAAAAGGTTTTATTATTTTCGGACACTTTGTGAGTCGACTGACACACTGGGGACACATATTTAGGTATAAAAGACATCATAATAGGAGATCTTTAAGCCAGGGTCCTGTTTGCTTTGCTCCATTACTAACTGTTGACTGTTTGCCCTCAGCCTAAAGCAACAACCCTGCCTGCTTTACAGTCGACATCATCATCCCCATCACCTTCATCCCAACCCTACAACAGCAACACCAGTGCAGACCCAGGATCCCCAGTCAACTCTGCATCTGCACTAAAGAGCAGACCTACTTCCATCATGGCCACCAAAGGAAAAGTCCTGCAGAAAGCCATGGTGACACTATACATACTTCTAAATGCAAATGCTTCAGTTAAACAAGATACTTCCATGTGTGAGGAAGGATGTATGTATCAGGATGCATCATAGCAAGTGTATGAACTTGTATTAAATGCATTTAAATAACATCATTTGATAATTATTGTATTTTCAGGAGTGGGAGAAGAAATCCACCACCTAGAGGGAAACCTGATGACCTTTTTGAACTCTCAAATGCACAAGTTTCTCTTGGTCTAGTCTGTTTTCTGCAACAGGAACCACTGTGTTACCAGACGGTTAAATCAACATTCTCCCTACTCCCTCTGGATTCCTCATCAACTTCTTGCCAAGACTATAAATCAGAGAGCCAATCAGAGGGATGTCTTCTCAAACACCACTGGATAATCTGAGTTTTAATGACTTTTTCATGGTTGTTTTTCTCCATTTGCTCAAGGGAGGACATTGATGAAGTGGCATTTTGGCCAGACTAACAATTGTTCTTGATGATGATGCACGAATGAAAACAGCCAAACATTTTAAACCACTGAGACCCTCTACTTAATTGGCAATGTTGTACACTCTAGATTATAGCTTGGTTCATATATGCGGTTAGCCAAGATGTAAATATATTTACGCCATTATTCAGCCTAATTTGGCTTGTATTGCTAGCTAAAAATGCACTTTTTATTCAAATAAAAATGTACTGACAACAATGTTGGCTGGTAATTTGTTTATGAAAATGTCCTCTCTCATCCAGTGAAAATGGATCAAAGGTTCACTGTAACTTTAAAATGCGTGTAGCATTACAATTTCACAGGGTAACTACATACACTTCTTAAAAATGAAAAAATAAAGTATTTATGGGAAAGTCAACTGATAATAGGATGTTCACATTTCAAACATTTATCTAGGTTCAAAGAGTTTAAATGTTAGTTTTGGTTAAGAATTTGAAACATTAGCCATTTTGAATTTACAATTTTAGGGCTTGTCAGGTGGTCATTTTCCTGTTTTGTTTCTCTTTCAATAGTGAAACACATCATTATTTGTATATCTGAAATCAGAAGGGTCTTTTTGCAAAAATGAATGTCAAATATTATAATAAAACAATAGCTGAGCATTTGGTTTTAAGCTTTTTGGCGAAACCTTTATGTTTTTGTCTTTTTTGTAAGTAGGAAAAAGGGCTGTGTATATTATACAATAAAAATAATACAATCATGACTTAGATATACTCTAGTCTATATTATAATAAAATATAAAAGTTTACATCTTTGAATAGACAACAACGAGACACAGTCTCTGACTAGGACACATATAGACACTGGCACTCAGAATCTCAACAAGTGCCTTAAACTCCAGTTTAAATATTGAAACAGTAACATTAGCTTTCCCTTTACTCCCATGTGTACCCGCTATCATCCTCGGTTCTTAAGTGTCCATACGTGGCTTGTTTCTGTGTTGGTGTTGTCAGACAGCATGCCTCCTGCGGTGCAGTTTGTAGCGATCCAGGAGCTCCTGGTGGCTCTTCTTCCTCAGACCAACAGGCCTCGGGAGATCTCCTCTGGAGGAAGGCCTGATGCTTTCTACGGATAAATTGAAGAAATAAATGAATGCACTTGCAAAGGATGCTGTTACTGCAAAGTCTTAAAAACAGAGTCAAGTTGTACAAGTAAGAAAAGCAGTCAGAAAACTAGTCTTGTATGTAGCTTTGACTCATAAACAGATTAGAAGAAAAGGATCTATATGGAGTAAAGATAATGCATTTATAAAATGAAGGCAGGAAGGTGGATGTGAAGGAAGGAAGGAAGAAAATAAGGAAAACAGACTTACTTCTTTCACAGTGAGGTCCTTCATAGCCTTGGCACTGACAGCGGAAGCTCCCTTTGGACAGGATGCAGGTCCCATCATTCATACATGGGTTAGGCTTGCATAGGTTTACCGGCTTTTTTACCTCTAAAAGAAAGGAAATGTATCATAAATGAGTTGGATACCACAGCAAAATGTTTACATAATTTGTTCAGATCCCTTCAAACCCGTCCGCCATCCTTCCACACAATTTCCGGCTGAAAAATAAAGTATTCTGATTCAGTTTCTATAGATGGAACAAGCTGTCCTAGAAAGGTGTTCCTGCCCTCTCACCTGAACACAGCATCTGCACCAGCACATCCTCAAAATAATTGAGATCCTCGTAAAAAGGCACGGAGATCATGTGTTCCTCTGAACCCGCGATCTGCAGCAGCCTGTCTTTCTGAACGTCTCCAATCCCGATGACAAACACTGACACTCCGTTATCTCGGATCTTCTGAGCTGGAACGGCAGCGTCGTCCCCCCCCGAGCCGTCTGTCAGTAACACCACGGCCTTGTTGACCCCCGGCCGGGCCCCTTTGGACGCCGTCAGGACCTCGGAGTGGATGTGAAGTAGAGCGGCGCCCGTTGAACCCACTCCACCCATGTAGTTGGCCTCATCTACAGCCTTGAGGATGGAGGAGCCGGTGTCATGCTTGTCCAGGTTGAAGACGGTGGTGGCTCTCCGACCGTAGGACACGAGCGCCACTTGAGCCAAGTCGCGGTTGATGTCGAAATGGACGGTGAGGCTGCGTACAAAGTCACGCAGGATGATGAAGTTATCCGGGCTGACAGCACCGGAGGAATCCAGGGCAAACACCAGGTCCACTGCTTGGTCCAGACAACCTGAATAAGAAAATAAATAAATAATTTGAATGTTAAAATACATAGACAATTTGTATTTATTAAAAAGTACACAACATGATCTTGAAGAGGTATTTCAAGACCCTAGAAATGCACTTTCTGCTAAATCCAGGTTTAATTGATCCACGTCTGATCGAAAATGAAGATTTTAAAGATTTAATTCTATCCTATCATCTGAGTATGTACTCAGATATTTCATGTGGTGTTGCTGTTGTTAAACATGGCAGGAATTACAAATAATTCATCAAGCATTATATCTTACATTTGGAATGACTGACTCCTATTGGCTTTCACCGATTTCATAAGTAATGAAGTAGTCAGTCTCTACCTTGCTGATCCACGCTGCAGATCTTAGCCTTGAGCTCAGGGATCTTGGCACTGAACTCAGCTGGTGTGTAGCTGATAGTCCTCTGGGGATTTCCTGTGATATTATTCAGTTGTTCCTTTAATTTGACTGGTCCCACCCCGATCAGGAAGATCTCTCTGTCTCGTGCATATTTAGAGGGCTCCACCACCTCGTCTGCAGCAGGCGTGGCGGTGATCAGCACCACCACGCGGGGCAGGTCGTCTGTGACGTCCGCAAAGACTGGCGCGCTCACAAAAGCGTGACGTGTGACGTAGCGTAATGCCTCGCCTGTCAGGGCCTCGCCGCCCACTGGTTGAAGGGCCTCCACAGCCCTCAGCAGACCCTTCAGGTCCCCTTTGTACTTATCCACCGGTGCCACCACCCGGGTCTCTCCTCCGAACACCGCCAGGCCCACCTTGCTGGGGCTGTTGGAGCCGATGACGCTGTGCAGGAAGCGCTTTAAGAAGGACTTGAGGCTGAGGAAGCCTTCCAAGGTGAGGGTGGCAGAGCCCTCCACCAGGAACAGCAAGTCTACGGAGCAGTCCAGGGCCATAGCAGGGGCTGGGGGAGGGAGGGTCAAATTAGTTAGTTTGAGAGATAGTATGCAGCCAATATAGTCAGAGGTGGGAAGTAGTGGAGTACAAATACTTTGTTATTGTACTTAAGTACATTTTTCTGGTATCAGTACTTTACTCCGCTACTTTTTACTTTTACGTCTTACATTTTTAACACAAGTTTGTTACTTTAGTTTTAATCTGTGTTTGGTGGAGTGATCATTATTATTAAGAGTCATTGCGTGCCTATTGATTTGAATATGATCCGTGTATCCATCATTTCCTGGTCTTCTCTAAAGAAGAGTGACCAATGAAAACGTTGTCATGTTGCCGTTGTTCAGCATGGAAACATTCATTAGCTAGCAATGACATGATTGTTCTATTAATATAAAGTGAGGTCAGTTACTTTAAAACAGTTGGTAGTTATGGGTACATTTAGAAGCCCATACTTCTTTACTTTTACTTGAGTAAAGAAGTTTAGTCAGTACTTCTACTAGAGTATTTTTAAACACGAATATCTGTACTTCTACTTGAGTAAAGAATGTGTATACTTTTGCCATCTCTAAATATAGTATCTCAGTGAGTGTACAGACCACAGTGTGGGTCTCCTCCATAGCCAGGAAGACATAAGCAGTTGTATCCCTCTTGCCCATCTGGTACACATGTGCCTCCATTCAGACAGGGCTGAGAGTCACAGGGATCTACAGTTCAGTGGGAGAGCGAGAGAATGGCAGGGAATTACACAAATACACTTCATTTCAAAGAAAGGAAGAGAGGGAGTTATCGGTGTTGTCACCTGGGCAGATAGTCCGATGGCAGACTGTCTGGTGTCTCTTGTACATCTTTGTGTACCTGAAAAACACACATTTAGACTAACACAGGTTGAAAACGAATCAAAGATTTGTACTGTGAGGTATGCATTACTAATATGATAAGCAGCCTATATGGAAGGCATTATATATTTACATGTTTTCATTTGACAGACGGTTTATGACCAGTGTCACTTTGATTCCAATGTGTTAACTGCAATTTATTCAAATCTCTATTTACATGAATATCTTAGAGTCTTATTTCATAGTATCATACAAGCAGCAATCCTACTTTGTGCTGTACCTAAAAGTGCTTGAAGTCAGCTTTTGTGAAGAAATTGCTGAGCATTTCACAGTGGCTTACGAGAAATATTTTAAATGAAAAGTTTGTTTTCCCTAAACAGTGAGGCCAGCTCACTGTGGTTAAGTAGTACTGTAATGTGCTGGGAAATTAATTTGTTCCAAGGCCGTTTTAATTTGCCTCGGGAGCTTCTGGCGGAATCACACTTTGTTTTTATTAACAACCTCGCACTGACACAGCACATTAACAGATGGGAGTTGCCCTGTTGAACAATCATTGTTGTCCCCAGTCTGAGCTAGAATGACAACAGCTTCCTTCTTTGATTATTAACCTGTCTCTGTCAGACACTGCTGTGGGAACAACATTCCTACCAAATTCTTCTTCTGGTGATTTACAGGAACGTTTTTACTGAAGAATTATGCAGAAAGTGACAGAACATTTTATTTTGAGATGACATTGAAGCTATTTAAACGTTGACACCAGTTTCAGTGAATAGGGGGGCTTTTCTTGTCAAAAGTGCAGGAATTCCTCTCAGATGAGGAAGACAACAAGGACATTTGCATTTTCTGAGCATTCACTAGCACTTGCCTGTAATATGGACAGAGAGAAGTGTATGGGGAATAACCCTTGGAGCCTTTCCAACACATGTAGTTCCCCTGCAGCTCCTTTACGGTCTCCAGTGTTTTCCTCACACAGGAAAACACCTCCACATGACAGCCTGGGGAACAGGACAGAAGGATGGCAAAAAGACAGGTGTGGATATGAGCCAGATCAGGACAGGACAGGAGTTGGAAGGAGTTAGAGAGAGAGCCACCAGAGAATGAACATAGTGAGGGAGAGGGCACTTATAAATACCGATAGTGAAAATCTGAGGGATCCCAACTTCAGGAATGGCATTGCAGACAGAGAAGGTGCTGAGTGAGGTGAACAGGCCGTTGACAGCATCATTGAAATGCTCGGCGAAGAAGACATGGCTCTCCATTGGCTCACTGGCCAAAGCATGTAGCTCCTCCCACCTGGAAAACAAGAACTTTAAAGGTCACCTATTATGCAAAATCCACTTTTTCATGTGTTTAAACATGTGTGTAAACTGATTCTGAAAGTTTCAGGAAAAAAGATTCTCTCACTTTTTGTCCTGATCCATTTATATAAAAACCTGTCTGAAAATGAGCTGATCAGATTTTGGCCACTTTATGATGTCATAACGATGTTTTGGCTTGAGTAACCATTAGCCAATCACCAACCAATGTAACACCCCCCCACCTTATCACCTGAATCTCCTCCTAGAGCACCATTGTGTTCTTTTGAACCAAATATCTCTCAGAGGGGCGTGGGGAGGGGCTCCTTATTTTCATCTGAAGTAACAGACAGAGAATCAGCACTTTTGAAACAGGGCTGAAACAGAGGGGATTATGGGATGCTGCAATTATCTGTTTGGTATTTAGAGCCAAACACTTCAGAGACATGTTTTGTATATATCTGAGACCATGGCCGTACCCACCATTGAGGTCACGGAGGTCCGGACCTCGGTAATTTTTTCGAGGTGTATAATAAAACCTGTGAAATAACTGCACATAATTAACAGGGTTCTTTGTAGTACTTCCATTTACTGGCGGTGGGGGCGCTGCATAACAAAGTAGCCTACATACAGCAAACAGAAGAAGACGACGACACCAATTTATCAACAAACAGCCACAGTCCGGACTACCCATGGATGTATAATAAGGGAAGCTGAAATAAATACTTTACATTAAGTTCTTTTCGTGTTGTGTGAATAATTATGTAATGCTTTTGAAAGGCAAAGAATAAAAATATATATATATATAGATATATATGCTGAGCCCAGAGTAAAATGCTTTTCTGTGCACAAACTAAAGGGACAGCAAACACCAGTGTGATTTTGGTGACAGTACGACTATCTTGGACAAAGTGGAGATGCCAAATCCGGCAGCTGGTCTGCCACATGTGGAAGCCCCTCTTTAGTTTTTAACCTGCTGAGCCCAGAGTCAAATGCTGTTGTGTGTACAAAACAATTTGGGGGGGCCTGCCCCCGAGCTCCCCTAGCATGTTTTGGACCTCGGTATTTATGAAATTCTGGGTACGGGCCTGTCTGAGACCTATAATATATTGATAAAAACAGTATCATAGGGGACCTTTAAGAGACTCCAATGCAGACAAAATGCAATCTATTATCTTTTCTACTATCAAACGTACTTGGGGAAGCGAATGCCCACTGCAAACAGGACCACTCCCGTCTCTTTGAGCTGCACAGCCGCCTGCACCACGTTGCCCTGGGACCTCCCGTCTGATAGGAGGATGGCGATCCGGGCCACAGTGGAGGAGTTGCGTCCGCCTGGGAAACCTTTCTTCAGCACATATTTTAAAGCCAGGCCTGTCTGGGTGCTGCCTCCCCTGGAAATTCAGAGTTTTTAAAGTTATTGTTAGAACAAAACTGAAAATATGTAATAATAGGTAACAATTGACCACATATGACTGCCAAAGCAAACCACAGATACATTTTGGTTCGATTCCTCTTTTATTTCTTGGATTGAACATGTTTATGGACTTTGCAACATTTCATCACAACCCATTTTAAACCCATGAATGTCAGTCACGATAGGAGCCTTTTTTTATCTCACCACTAGACACAGGAAACAGATTCAGAGTGTCTCATGACTGTTAGTAGACTGACCTTCTGAAACATAGGAAGTGCCTGAAGTGAGGTGTTTAGATGCAATCTTATCATATTTCCCATTTTAGCAGCTGTGAAAACAGTGCTTTCTCTAGGGCGCTGAAACTACAAAACATTATAGTGAAAGCTTCAAAGGCCTTCAGGACTGATAACCAACAACATTGGCTTCTTAGCATACAAGTGCAGATTTATATACATATGTTTAGGATTTGCTTTTGCAGCATTTATTTACAGATTTTGGCTCAAGGCTTACAGACAATTCAACATAACCAGAGACAACTAAAAATAAATTGGTTATTTTTGAGTCTTTTTTATACTTTTTGTTTAAAGAAATATTGCAAATACAGAATAGACAATTATTGTTTGTAAGGTAAGGTAAAGTAAGAAATAATGATTAAACATACACCTACATTATACAGCAGTATAATACAAGGTACTATTTTGATTTGAGGCAAGGGGACAGCTAATATAATTAAACCTGGGTAGCCATTTCAAAGCTGATGGCAAGCCAATAATGTTAATTCCAAACTACAAAAACCATACACACATGCACACACACAAATTATCTTCGTCTTTCTCGGCTTGTGCACTAATCCAATATCCAGTGACCACCTGCGGTGTACCCCGCTAATCTGAAATTAATTTGTTTTCCTTTCCAGGGAGTATTTGTATTACTTCTGAATCAGTGTTTTGCCTTCAGGAGCAGAGTTTAAACTAAATCCCGTCCAGATCACATTACTTGTCAAACATTTAAATACACGTTTTTCCATTTTTCAGTTTAAGTCTTGAAACAACATAGACACTTGTGGTTTGGATGTATTCAAAAAACGGATTACCCCCCACCCCCCCAATGTTGTTATCTGAGGGTGTAAGGAGAGCATAAACACACCTGTAAGAAATCTTCTTCATGTGCTTCTTCAGCTCTTGTTTGGTAGTGTATGAGTCCAGGGCGATTTCCAGCCGAGGAGAGGAACCAAACTGAATCACGCCGACCCGCATCTGGATGAGGATTGATAAGGATTGTGTAAATGAGAGAAAGAGGGAGAGAGGAAGACACACAAAACAAAAGCAGAAGACAAACCTTGTCTGGAGCGATGTCCAGTGCTTTACACAGCTTTATTGCGTAGTGCTTGGACCTCTCAAAGCTGCCCTTCCCCACGCTGTAAGAACCATCCAGGAGGAAGAGGATGTCCATGACTGCCGAGCACTGCATTTCTTCCCATGGGAACACAAATATTGTACTTAAGCACACATGTGAGGTACATGCTACTTTATACTTCTACTCTACTACAATTTGGAAGCAACATAGTACATGTTATTCCTCTACCTTCATTTGACAACATTAATGTAGTTACATTGCAGTTTCATATTACTCAAACAAGGTATTAATCAACTAATGAGTTATGACGTACTGTTAAGGATCAGGACATGAGGCATCTTAAAAAGTAATTAAAAGTTTGCTCCACCTTTTACCAGCTTAACTTAAAATAAGCAAGTGATGTTATATAAACTCAGAAAATAGCCAGTCTGCATAATGAGTACTTTTTGTTTTGATACTTTAAGTGATTCTAATATTTGTTAACTTGTATTAAGGTAAAAATGAATGCAGTGCTTAGTATATTTACACTGTGCCACATTGACTGTGGTATTAGTACTTTTACTGAAGTAAAAGGTCTGATTACCACCTCTGGTAGGTCCACACTCTCAGTCATTGTCTGCTTTGCATTCCCGTGAATGAATTGGTATTCTTTTGTTCTTTGTGGATATTATGGGATTATCCTGACAAGGGGTAAATGGGCTGTAGCAGATGAAAATAATACCTTACCATAAAAAGAGACAAAACAGCTAAGCTTGCTTGTTTCTCTTTTCCCAGGAGCACTCACAAAAACATCCCCCAGGAGAAAGCAAGTTTGTACTCGCTGGCGGCGTAAATAATCAACGGTGTTGCCGTCACGTTAGAATTTGCAGCTGATCATGAAGAGGGCCATTAGAGACGAGGAGAGTGTGCCGCCTATCTGCTTACAAGAAAGTAATCTCCAAACACTTTCCTCTATGACACACACACCGGGCTAATAAGACCACCCACCACCTCAGAGGACTAATCCGAGGTCATGTGCTCAAGAATGTATTAATTATTTACTACAACAGGCTTTAACATGTTTGTGCATCTCTGTCAACAGATTAGATCTCCCACCACAATCTTGTCTTTACTCACTTTCTGCTGCTGAGTTGATCTTTACAATGGTGTCATGGTCGGTTTGGATCTCCTGCACCGAGGTGCCCTGCTGGACTACAAGGGAGAAACAACACAGGGGTCAGGCAAATGTCCACACATATGTAAGTAGACAGTATTATATACATGCGTTTTGGATAGAGTGGTTGGGCCAACCATAAAAATCAACACTCTATATAAACAGGTAAGGACTTTTTCAAGAATTACACACACAATTGGTTAATAAATGTGGATAGGCTACTTATTAATGGCATGTAAAAGTACGAGACCACCACAAGATAAATCTGAGTGGTTTGAAGATGATTACTAGGACAACAACAACAATCTTTGCAAAACAAATGAATACCAAATGTTTCCCTATCATTGCTATTTATCTCATAAAATGACAACTAAGGAGGAAAGATAATCACACTTATCTGTAAACCTCAACAATTTCCCATGTTAAACATCAGAATTATAATTAAATAATAAATAGGAGGCTTTCCCTGAAGTGTATACAGTTCATTTACTCGTACTTGACCCCCTTTGCAATGGATAATTAAGTATTCAAAGCTAATGTGAATGGACAAGTGAAGAAAAAACATTCTTTCCCTCCATTCACTGAATGGACGTCGCTCTATTCAGGCATACACGTACAGCCTAAATGTGAACGAGGGGCATGTGATTTCCTGTTTAAACCCATGTGATCACGCCTGGTTGTCCCTGGTAACCCCACAGAGGCATTTGTCCGGCAGAGACAGAGCGTTTGACATCTCCACATGAAACAGAGTCAACTCTCAGAATAGAACAGAGCTTCTCTCGGATCACAACAAGTAAAAAATATGTCAGTCTGTCCTCTATCAAAGAAGATGTAAAAGGAAAGAAACATCAAAGAATGTTTACATGTGCAAAAATGTACAAGTAATATGTCTGCATGACAGAATTTGGTGCCAATATTGAATGTGTCCTCATCCTCTGCTAATCTTTCTGTGAAAGAAAGTTGTGCAGTTAGTATTTGTATACTCTTTTGAAAATAGGGTGGTATACGTAACAAATGACACTAATGACATTCAAATAATTATGTACTCTGAAAATCATCATCTGCAACTTAAGAAAGACTACCAATAATACTGCTATTTACGAGACTAGTGATTACAATTATTAAGCATTTTTGAGTAAATAACAAAACCTGAAAAAGGGCCGTAGCATACATACATGAGCAAGAAAACATGTCACAATAAAGTGAACAAAGAAAAGTACCACCTGCAACTTAGAGGCCTAAATTCCCTCCTTTTTCTATCATGACCCCTTTCATCTGCCCCTAATTCCAATGTCAGTCCAGCCCCTAAATCCTCCTGACAGTGAACGTTTTCGTTCTTGGCAAGGCTTCTGATGGTCAGCAGGGCCCCAATGTTCAGAACAAAAAGTCTGTCTGTTCAGCCAAGTGCCTCTAGCAAAATGACTGTATCTTTAATGACTGTGAATGAAAACATTGCAGGAAAATCAGTAGCTAGAAAATGACCAAGAATCACATTACTGCCTCCGTAGTCTGGAAAATTACCTTGAAATCAGAGTTAAAAAATACAATCAGTTCACTGACTATCTGGGAAATGTGATCTGACAGGGTGGATTAGGTGGATATGTATCTGGTGAAGCACTGCAACATGCTATCTGTGTTATCATCAGCACAGCAAGAAAAGAGGGCGTCTTGACAAGGTGAAACGGTCTGGTTTGCTCAAGTTCAAAGTTTTAAAAAAGGCCAGTAATAAATACTTCAGATGGTGCTAAAGCTGTCATTTTTTTAAACAACTCAGGATTATATTGCTCAAAGAATCCCGCCTCTCCCCTGAGGCAAATACCAAATTCCTCAGGTCCGAGACAACAACTGACAATATGCTATAAAAGTAACAGTTTTAAGGCCATGTTAGATGATTGGTAAAGCTAACTTGTTAGCTGTCGCTTCAAGCAAACACTCTTAATTCCCATACTGTTGATTACAATAATAAACAATAATGTCTTTGATTAACAAGATAACGTCATCTAATTTTTGGTTTCCTTTGGACAGAGCAAGGCTAGCTGTTTTCATTTGGTCACCGTATTGATGCTAAGCTAACTGGCTGTATTCTCATCTAACGCTTGACAATAAAGAAGCATATTTCCCAAAACTTTAAACTATTTCCTCAATGTATTGTTATTTTGAATTCCATCCAGTCGCACAGGTGTACCTGATTGAACTGTTGGTTGATTCAGTCAATCAAGGATTAACTAGCACACCTGCCATTTTCTGCATTTTCATTGCAGGGTACACATAAGAAGTGTTGTATCTACAGAGATCACTTCTCCACTGAAACTGACCAAACAGTAACACAACCAAGGAACCAACCTTGAAGAAGCACCAGCGTTAGGAGGAGAGGGAGATGGATATCAGGGAGCATGTTGAGACCTGGAATAACAAACAAGGAGAAACACTTAGCAATAGGAAGCACAAACTTTAGACCCATGAAATTGATATTGGTATCCGAGGTTGGGAATGACAGGTGTATATGATGAGAAATGCTAATTATGCTTGAAGTAGTTTTTGTTGGGTTTTTTTGTCTAGAAATTTGATGTATTTTTGTATTTTTTCTACAGGAAGACTTCAATCAAGTGGAGATGGATGATGAAATACAGTTCATGACCCTGGAAGTGTCGTGCAGGTGGAAAGCTCAAATTACAGGGCAAAGGTAAACTGAGGTAGCCTAAGCGTAACATGCTATACGGATCCTAAGTAGCCGACACATGTTTTCACAGCTAAGTGTTAGTTGAACTCTGACCTTTCAAGGAGGACTGAAAAAAGACATACTTGATAACTGATAGCTGAGGAACAGTAAGATGTTGGTAAGAGTATTGCACAGCTGAATGTTAATTTCCCGAAGACCAATCCCATTGTGGTGGAGAAATTGACAACAGCAACACAAATGCAACCACAATGCACAGGTGAGCTGTAAGTGTTTGTAAAACGGCGTACAAAAAGGATGTCCAGATGAGCATATTAAACACACACACACACACACACACACACACACACACACACACACACACACACACACACACACACACACACACACACACACACACACACACACACACACACACACACACACACACACACACACACACACACACACACACACACACACAAATATTTTTTCGCCGGTCAACATGTCCGTTAAAGTTTAAATCTTCCGGACAAAATGAGAAAAGTGCCGGTCAAAGGTCTTCTGTTAACAAATTGATATGATTCAATATTAAACTAATTATAGTAGATTAACTACATTATTCGAAAGTGAACAGTAATTTACAATAACACGGGAATAATAAACGGAGCGCTCTCCCTCTCCTGACAGCCCGTCAGTATCATGCAGCTCGCGGATCAGTAATGAGTGACCCGACAGTGAAACTAAACATATCTATAACTAGTTTAGGTAGTTTGAGAGGTCATTAAAATAGCTACGTGTGATATTCTAACCTGAAGTGTGTGTTTTGTTCGCTCACCGCTGATCATGCAGAGCTGCGTGTCGACTCGTCAGCAGCAGCTGATCTCTCTCTCCCGTCAGATTAGACTTTACTCGCGTTTATGTCCATATCGATCAGATCCAGCTAGTTCTAGCTAATGATATGACTACCTGCTTATTAAAAGACACCTAAACAATAAGCGTCGCTATGCAACCGGGTGAGGCCGCAAAGTATAGCGCAGCATTATGCATTTGTTTACATGCCCACCGGAACCCCGAGGCATTACCAACAGATCAACGCACAATCAACCCACACAGGACATCTCTTTCTCCACATGAAGTGTTAGACATTAGAATTGACTATTCTTGTCTGTCACATACTCTTTTGTCTGTCACATAAATGGTGCAAGTTGCGCAACTGATGTGGTATTGCGCTAAACGGAAATGACTTTGAACGGACACTTTGACCGGAGAGATTTAGATTTGCCGGTCTTCAGCATATTTTACCGGTCGTAGTCCGGTAATTACCGGCTAACGGGAACTCTGAACACACACCATGGTGGGTATGTGTGGTCCACCTCAGTGTTAAAAATGAAAACCATGGAAGAGTGAAAGGGAGCCAATTGACTGCAAAATATGACTATTCCTTTTAAAAAAAGCGTTATTTATGCAATAATTAATCACTTTATTTAATCACATCTACAGTGGTGGAGTCTACATTATGTTCATCTGAGCTGCATTTGGGCTTTTAAAAATCCCCTTCTGTGTGCAAATATGGGATAAAAAATATTCTGACAGCTGCAGCAACAACATATTAACCATTATACGCAGTGCTTGAATTGGAATGAAAAAGGTGCCAGTACTCTAAAATCAGCAACTTTTTCAAGTCAATTTTATATATACAGCCCACAAACAAGAATTTGGCTACTATAATGCTGGTGGGTTTGTCTCTTTACTACTGTATATTTTAGAAAGGTTCACTGTACTTAACATTTTTTATGATAGGCAGCGGATATGGCTAAAGCCCAGTAAGGTCAATATTAACTGAAAATATAGCAATCAAAGTCTAGATCTTCTGCTGAAGACACATGAAGCAGAGACCTTTCAGGTGAGAGCCCCTCTGGTGGTGTTCAACATTAATGACAAGGAAACAAAGCTCTGGTCAGAAGCATTTTTTATAAAAAGCTTTAACAAAATTAAGTATTTCTGTACATTTTGAATGCAATCTAACTTTCCAACTCAGAAAAACGAAAAACGAAAAAGTGCCAAAAGTCTTCTCACATGGCTGAGCTGCTTTGCAATATACTTCACCACTGAAGAATACAAATATGTATAAAGTAAACTATGATGCAATCTAACTTTCCAACTCAGAAAAATGATAAAGAGCATGAACAAAGAACATGTAAAAACAAATGCAAAATGTGCACAATCTAAAATGAGAAACTGTAACTGCAAGTAACAAAGTCTGAGCCATGGTAAAGAGTTACATTGAACACCAAGCTGATCAGATAACTCCCTGGTTGGTCTGAAGTCCTTCTATCTCCAGGATCTGTACAAATCGGCACATTATGCCAAAAGTCTTCTCACTGGGTGAGCTGCTTTGCAATATACTTCACATTGTTAGAAAAGGCTCCAGAAGGCCATGGGGACATCAGTATCAGGGGCTGGAGCTGGACAGACTCTTTCATCAGCACTTCTCCTTCCCTTTGCCAGCCAGGACCTCACATACTGTTCCGGATTGAACTGTCCTAGTGATGGTCCATTACATTTAATGAAAACCAGGCTGGACAGTCGGCTGACAGAGAGAGCATTCCTTTTTGCAGTAAGGATATCGTTCATGCAGCTGAATGCCCGCTCACACTGACTAGTGGAGACAGCGATGGTTCGGACTGCTTTCAGTAGAGGCTCCATGGCAGCAGGTGTACGGGATGCCCTGGTTTCCTTGTATTCGCGAAAGCCCTGAACAGTCTCTCTTCTGTCCACTTTCAGCACTTCGCACAAACGTAGCACCTCTACGTCCCCATACTGTACGTCTAACTCCTCTTCAGGCCAACTTCCAGGATGGATAACTTTCATGTCCTGGATTAGCTGATTGTCCCGGGCCTCCCGGCCATGTAATGGGATTTCTCTTGTGCTGACATGAGAGGAGGTTGTGGAAGTCATTCTGTGTCTCAGATTCTCTACCATACTGCGGAAAAACTGACCTGCATGAATCTGTACAAGCCTGCCATTCTCACGCAGGGCAACACCCTTGAAGGACTTCTCAGCTAGAGCTGTATGAACTGTAGTCATGTGTGGGCCAGGCATGGTGACCATGGATTCAAAAACTCGTATTTCTCGAGTTAAGAGCCTATCTGCTGTAGGCAGTGTCATCTCTCTTTTTTGGAGTTGCCGAGAGAGGTCGCTGAGCTCTGTGAGCGCATCGTACATCAGTCCCAGATTGCTGACAAACGTTGCAGATGTGAGCACATCATCCAGGCCCTTGTACTTTGCTCTGTCTCTGGAATCCCTGCTCGTGTCGTTTGCAGCATTTGTGAAGTGATCATGAAGCACTCGGTAGTTTTCCCAGACTGCTCTGACGCTCCTTTCACTTGAAGCCACCCAGCGGATGGACAAAACACGCCCTATCACCAGGAGACGCTGTCCGACTGCTTGCGCACACTGCGCTAACTGCCTCTGATTTTTGGGGGAGGCATGGAACAAGGAATAGAGTTTGTCAAAAAAGATCTGGAAATGATTGAGCCCTGAGACCTCCTTGACCACATCCCCAACTGCCAGCTCTAGACGATGATTGGAGCAGTGCCACACAAACAGGCTTGGGAATTTACTACACAACTGGGTAGCAACGCCTGTTCTCTTCCCTAGCATGACTGAAGCCCCATCACATGCAAAAGAAACGAAACACTGACCTAAAAAGTCCTCGTTAAAATCTCTTCCAAGACACTCCATTAACGCCTTTGTGATGTCATCAGCCGTTGTTCCATCCAACTCGATCAGCTCCCAAAAAAACGTTTCGGGCTCAGCATCAGCTAATGCTGAGCGTAGACACACAACAAGCACCGTTTTACCACTAATAGTGGTAGATTCATCGACCAAAACACAGAGTTTTCTTTGGTTTTCTGTAATGTCTTTTGCCATTTTTTTCTTCAGCTCATGAGCTATGTGGTCGATGATTTCGCCACAGGTTTTATTGGAGTGCAAAACCCTGCCCACGTTCAGCCCATTCAGTTTCTGTACATTCAAATCAATTGGCATGTCTGTGAATGGCCGGCTATGTTTGCCAATTTTATATGCCGTTCGAAAAACTCTGATAGTGGTGTCTAATTCAGATTTATGCATAGACTGCACTTGATGTTGAATAGTTTCACGTGAAGCAGATGTAAGGATGTCAGCAGCTTTTACATGGGCTTGTGATTCTTTATGTTCTTTGATTTTTTTTTTCTCAGGCTAGCTTGTTGTTTGCCCTTGTCAACACCGAAATGAGACACTGCACACTCACCCCATTCAGTTGACAGTTTCAGTCCTTGTCCAGTGTGTATTCCCAAAGATTTGACATCTCTGCATATCCGACATCCTAGCTTCTTATCTTTAAGAAGGAGCCATGCATTGGTCTTGCAAAAATATTGCACCTGGTCCGTTGTCCAGCAGTCAGGTGCATCGCTTTGCCCGGTGTTGGTGGTGGCAGTTGAGCCAGCAGCAGCTAACTTTAGAGGCTCTGGAGGAGGCGGCGGAGCTAGTGCTAATGCTAATGCACTAGAACTTGGAGCAGGAGGATCAACCAAAGAAAGCTCCCCATCAGACACAATTTCCAACACAGGCACAGCATTCTCTGTATTTGAAGTTTCTTCCGGCGACAACCGCTGTCTTTTTGCACTTTTATTAATCCACGCTAACATTTTAGAAATGCTAATTTGTGACGTGACTTGCTTTCCTTCTCTCGGGGGCGTGCCTGCTCTGTTCTATCACTCTACATAGCCACCCACTGGGTGGGAGTTGCACTGCATAAACACAACACACGTGCATCTAGGTATGTAAATTGTAAAGCATTAAAACATGGTTTTACTAACAGTTTTCAGTATGTTGTTACTTCGGAATTATTATTATTATTATTATTTTGAAACGTGTATTACTATTAAATCACGGTCAAATAGGTTAATTTTGACATAGTCGTTTCCACCACAGTATTTACATGGAGAAGATAAGCCCCGCCCCCTCTCCAGCACGTTCTGTTTGAATGACAGGAGTAAACAGCTGACAGCCGCTGTGAAACTCCAGCGGTTAGAGCGATGAGAATGTCCGTTCGGCACCTCATGACGCATCTACTGAGTACCGGGCGGCTGTATATATATATATGGATGTATAATAAGAACGGCGGGAGAGTGTTGAGTACTGGCACGGTGCATGAGTACCGGAGTACCGCCAGCATGCCGGTACTGAGCAAGAAGTGCCGGTACTCCATGGGTCAGAACCAGAAGTGCCGGTACTGCGTACCGGTGAGTACCGGCCCAATTCCAGCACTGTTCCAGATACAATTCAGATACGATAATTCCAGATACGTATAATTTATACGCATCACAAAGATACAACTAAATGCAAAACTGTTATGTAAAATGTCAATCACACAGGTGAACCTAATTAAATGTTGATTGCATCAATCAAGGATCAACTACCCCACCTGCCATGTTCTGCATGTTCATTGCTGGGTGCACATAAGAAGTTTAGGGGATAGAGCTATGGTTTGATTAACTCTGGCTGCTGATAAGCTCTGCCATAATATCCGGTGTGTGCGTGCGTGTAACGGGGTGGGCTATAGAGGACAGACGTGCCAGAGAAACCCTCCCCGCAGCTACAGCTGTGTGTATTTCTAACACAGAGATAGAATTGTGTGCAGGACGGAGGCTCTCTTTTAGTGGAGTCTGTGTGTCTGCAGATACAGATCTGCAGAGCTGATGTGCAGCGGCTGTCTGAGAAGCCGCAGGCTGATAATCACCAGGGGCTATTGATGCTTTATTTGTGCACTCGCTGGTACACACACACACGCGCGCACGGCACACACCTGTCTTAAAATGGGCTCCCTCTTCACAAGCATTGTTCTGGATCCGTCAACCTCTAATTTTTATGTTTTCCTCCTTTCTATTCATCAGTGAACACTTGTATGTTCAGGTGATTTATTTTGGGTATAGTTCAGTGATGTTTGACTCGAGATGGTTTACCTACTACTTTGGGCTATCAGTTATTATCCTGAGGGATACAAATTAAAAATATATTTGCAACCTGGGACATTCCTAACATTGTTACCTTGAAAAAGGAAGGCCTTAGCCATGTTTGTGCCTCCGCTCTGGGTTGGTTGGCAGGTTGGAAAGTGCCTGCGCTCTGTAGGGTATAATTAGAAAGGAGTGCTAGTTGTTGGACCAACTTCATGCAAAAATCCTTAACCAGTCCTCAGATGTTTAAAAAGTTCTAACGGCTTAAATTATTTTCAGGGTTAGTCACCTTTAAAATAGCCACTTTTAGAACAACGGTTGATGTTTTCAGCAACAATGTGACATTTAGTGATTTATAGCCAAAACTACCTACAATTCAAAATGTCCTGGAATGCATCTAAGCATGGGAAGTGTTGAAAGAGCAACAGGTAACCACACACAGAGGATGGAAAGCTCCAGCCCCCTATATGTAATTACATTTCGCAAGCTACTCTGAAACTGAAACAAAACTCCAATCGAATACAATATAACCTTCGATTTGCAAGTTTACCTTTCTTTACTATCTTCCAACACCTGGTCACTCGTAAACGTGTCATTGGTCAAGGCAGGTTTAAGATGGGGCCAGAGGTTTTGGCCCTGACATGCAACAGTAGAAGAGGTTAAAGCCTGCTTAAGTACCAAGTAGGCAGGTTAAGCTCAAGGAAAGCATTTGGATGCTTTCAGACCGTAAGACCCAGTTTCTACAGACTTGTATTTAAGACTCTACATTCACAAAAACATACTGCCCATTTTGCAACCGGCATGGTAATATGTTGACGTTTATTTGAATACATGAAACCGATGGAAGTTTTTTTTTCTTTAACTTTGACAATTCATCTGTAAATGCACGGATACTCGGTCGGTACCCTGACCTTCTTAAATATAAGGCAGGTCATAAGTAAAATCATTGTGAGACACCCATAATAAAGCCAAGTGCATCCAAATCGGACAGGCTGTACTACAGCAGGTTCCGCCACTCAATACAGCTTTTCCTCTAAATGATTCCACTTACCATGCGCTGTTCAGTGCTCACAATCCTTTGTTTTCCTTCGGACAGCAGTCCAAACCGGCTCCCCACACCTGTTTCCGCACTGGTCTGATCCTCTGGGGATTTCTGCTACAATCTGGAGGAGCAGCGACCCCACCTACTCGCCATGCCCACCTCTGATGTACCTGCACCGGTAGGGTCTAATTTGTCCTCCTCTCTTCCCGCACAGGACAAGTATGGAGGCGGGGAGTGACTCAGACGCATTGCAAACGTTTAACTATGACTTAATTTTAAATATTTTTGTAACATTCTGTATGTTCGTTATGTCTGTTAGGCCTACATGATGTGTATTTTGAAAATTATGTAACTTTAAAAAAAAAAAAAACCTTATTTATCATAACTTAGTACTTTTTAATGTATGTAACATATTTAACAGTAAGCTGTCGGTGGCTCTTTTGCTGTAACTAACTACACATTTCCCCTCTGTGGGACTAATAAAAAAGGTATTCTGATTCAGCACTCCAAGTTGACAAGAAAGTTCGATCTTACCTGTATTAGACTGAATGTGTTATGTACAATTACTTACAAAGTATTCAAAATAAATGTTTCCCTCACAAACATCACACAATAAACTTCAACAGTTCACTGTCAAGAGAACCTTTATGTAAAGACTGAAACACATGTCAAACATAAATCAATCAGGCTGAAGTCCCACCTGAACAGGTGATTAGGACAGAACAGAGGAACAGATGACAGCACCGTGTGCTACAGCACACTTACAGGAGACAAACACACGCTGAGCTAATTGAGGTGTAACATCTTTCGTTGCAGATTTTCTGGCAACTTTAACAAACGTAATAAATGCATAAAGCATTTTTTTATGAAAACTTTCAAAAATATTAAAACATAAAATAACCACAGGTTGAAACATTAAACACTGGATATGGAAATTAAATTAAATTTGAAAAGCTAAATTAAGAGCTGGATGGTTGCCACATCAACATTTAACTAATTTATTTATTTTAACAATATGGCGAACTGGACTTAAAAGACTTATGGAATTCTGTACATCTTATTTTGTCTTTCCCACTAACTGCCGGATGAGAGACAGCTGCACCTGCACCAAATTTTCCAGGTGGTCAATCTGTGAAAGGGAACAAAACAAGTCATTCATTTGCACTTCAAATTTCAATTGTATGTCAAATGCAGCTCAAGCTACTTCTTAGCATGAATAACAATATGGTGGTATGTGATGGCTATTAACTCTGCTTTAAAAACAACAACGATGCTTTCTAAAAGAATTTGTGAGAAACCACCTTAGTCGTCAGGTTCAGACAGCAGCAGCCAGGAATCTGAGAATCTAATCAAACAGAAAAGCAAAGGTGATGCTATACAATCTTGATCAGTCACAAACTCATTGTAAAAACCAAAGTGGGATAGAAGTGTAACTTTTGTAAACATTGATCATTAATCTTATTTAAAAGCATACCGTTAGTTTTTGAGGTTTTGCATGGAGCCTCCATTTGCGCAATAATGTTCTGAACTGGATCTTCTGAAAAGAGAGACACTATTACAACTGCTGTTAGCTTCAGCACAATACACAACACATAAACCATCCTAGAATGAATCAGGTGTTATATCCATTAATGACGCAGGTAATCAGGCCAGTATTTTGAACCCAAGTAAGCCCTTAAAGCAAAGATGAATCGCTAAATAATAATACAAACATCGAAATTGTGATTTGACCAACCATTGACTGACACTGCTGGAGTATTTTTGTTCTGCTGGGGGGTCTGGGGGGACGCCTTTGGGGTCATGGTCAGGCTGGGGGTAGCTGGTGTGTTTTCCGTCGCCTTTTGGGCTTCAGGTTTAGGTGAGAGCAGGGGGCATTCAGGTGCAGCTGTACTGTTGGCAGGAGATGTGCTCCCGTCACTGTGGTCAGCCTTCAGGGTGGGAGATGGGGGGCTCTTGGCCTGGGCCTGCAGTGCCTCCAGCAGCATGGCGGTGAGGTCCCCCCCGCCCGTCTCCGGGGGCTGGCTGAGAGAGAGCACGTTATCAGAGCCGTCGAACGACTGGACCGTGGCGAGGACGCCGCTCAGCAGCAGGCTGTGAAACATCTGCTGCAACTCCTCTGGAAACTTAGCAGGGAAGTGCTCCTTTCCTAGAAACAAAGAGTGGACGGTGGAGAAGTGATTTGAAACTAAACTTTTAACACTGGTCAAGATGGAAATAATTCATTCATTCATCCTGAGCCTCACCAGTGAGGGTGCAGCGAGTGATCTGAAAGGGGAGCTGCTGCAGCAGGCGCGCTGGGATGGGCAGGACACGGGAGAAAGGAACCTTCTCAGTGTTACCGTAATCTGCGTAGATGACGCTCATCTCCTTCTCTCCGACATCAAGGGCCATCGCGCGGTACCAGTTATTGTCAGCTGAAAGTGAAGTTCAAACTGGGTGATAACAGTTCATCATTTGACAGTAATGAGCACCAACAGATGATGATTATTATATAATTAGACAGTAGGGGTGTAACGGTTCACAAATATTTCGGTTCGGTACGTACCTCGGTTTTTTGGTCACGGTTCGGTTCGGTACGTTTTCGGTACAGCGGCATTTTTTTTCACAAAACAAAACATATATATTTTTTTTTTTTAAATTATTATTAAACTGTGAATATTCACTCAAATAAATACAAAATATAATAAAATAAACATTAAGGTGCAGCTTTTCGATGAACTGAAATAATCTGTATTTGAACTGTACTGTACTAGTTCCTAAGCAGCCAGTTTGACATTAGGACTTGCTTGTCATTGTATTTTCATGTTTTTTTAAAGAAAAATTAACTTGTCCACATTGCTTGCCGAAAGGGCAGATCTGCTGGCACTAACAATGTCTCCTGCTGTGGAGAACACCCTCTCTAGGGACAGAGGTAGCAGATACAGCCTGGTAGCGCTTTGCTAACATGGCAACATAAGGATATTTGGTGTTTGTAATAGCTTTGGCTCGGTCTGAACTCTCTGCGAGTGGTGGAGGCTTACATGCTAGCGGGAGTTAGGTTTGCACTTCAGTCTTTTTTCTTTTGGTACCGGTGATATTCACGTTCGGGTGATGCCTTTTCAAGAGTGTGCAAGTTTGATGTATTGCCAGCCGCGTAACCAATGTTAGTTGAACAATGCCGACAAACAGCTTTGGTTCGGTCCACCTGTCTTTGTCCGTCATCCTTGTACGTAACTGCGAAACCAAAATGTTCCCAAACCGGAGACTTCAATGATGCTGGAGGATTTCCGAGCTCAACTTTATCTGCGTTCGCCATTAATTTTCGACAGTTCCTCAAATTACTGACTAAATTTGAACGCATCCCTCTGACCAGCTCTCATAGTATGCCTCTCATCCAATGAAATGACTTGCTCGCTCTATGACGCGTTGAACCCAATGTGAGCAAATTACTCTGAATGCTGCGACGCAGCACCTGAGATTACTTCCAAAAAGTTGTTCACGTTCTCAATTTTTTACGTTTAACGTTATATTCGTTCGGTACACTTCGGTACACACCTGTACCGAACCGAAGGGCCCGTACCGAATAATTTCGGTACCCCTATTAGACAGGGATATCGGTTGCCCATCATGTGACAACTTTCATAAAGTTATTTTTGCATATTTATATTCAATTTTGGAAGAATGTATAAGGCTTGCCACGTGCAAATCTTCATTAGTTGACACATTTCTGTATTATGTTTATAGTCAGGGTTCAAGGCCTTTTTGAAAGTCTTGAAATCATCCTGAAAGATATGACAAAGATAACTCTACCTACACAGCTGACCTTAAAAATGGATGAGCTTTTACCAGCTTCACACCTAGAGACAGCACTGAAAACTCCATTAAAACAGACCCTGTGGTTAGCTGAGGAATGTATGCCAGGCTATAGTCTCCTACTTGCACGCTGTGTTTAAAGAAGAACCGCTCCTACGCTCCGCAGAACTCGCGCTGTGTAATTATATCTACTAGCAGACACCAAATTACCAGTTTAGGTCTGCAGGGCAACAACTGCAGGTGGGGTCTACAGAATAGTCAAAGCGCCAACATACAAATTCATGATGGCAGACTGTGCATGTTTCCTCAGAGTTAAAGCCCAATGATGGATCAGCTGTTTTGTCCTCCTATGGTCTCTTGCCTGTTATCATTTAACAATGTGTGGGAATCATACAGTCTGAGCGATGGGGTTTTCCCCGCTGACAGTATCTATTTAACAGCTATTTATTTAAAAAAACAAAACTTATTATCCACCATAACTCAACTTCCATCTCGTCTCACATTTTCTCAAACAAGATTATATCATTTTGGCTTAAAAACAATAACAGGTTAAAATATTCAACATCAATATGTTGGCTTTTATGCAGGGACGGATTGGAATTTGACTTTTTACTGACGAGTTATCTTTAGTAAAAAACTGTGCCTAATATAATGATAGCATGAGAACTGCCATGAAGTCCGAAGCCTGCGCACACAATCGTTCACTAATCATTTACCTGTCTGACATCTAGTGGTTTTAAGGGGTCATGGCAAGCATGTGCATGTCTACAGCAGCGGGAGAGATTTGCATGTTATATTCAGGGGTGCCCATCACTTTTTGAGTGAGTTACTCAGATGAATACCAGGAGACAACGTTTGGTACTCAACCCACACGAAGCGTGGTCCTCCTCAGTGTCTCCTTCACTGTCCTCTATTTACACTTCTTGCATGCTAGATGATGAAGATGCACCTCCATGTTTCTTTTTAAGCCTCCGATTTGCTTTCTCCAAAACGTGTTGCCAAAACTGTGAAGTCCTTGCATTTCCTGAGGCCAAGTTGAAGGATCAAATACTAAGAAATGATCACATGACTTGAAGTCATATCTGATTTCAGATGTGGGAAGTTACTAAGTCACTTATTCAAGTACTACTTAAGTACAATTTTGAGATATTTTTTACTTGACTTTGATCTAATTTGTAAAACTAGCTGAACCTTTACCAGCTTTGAGAACACTTTAATGATCAATCATTACAAAACATATCATATATATTATTCTGAAATAGACCAATCTGCACAATGACTACTTTTACTTTTGGTACTTTAACTATATTTTGATGAGAATACATTTCTAATTTTACTTGAGTAACATTTTGAATGCAGGACTTTTATTTTTACTTGAGTAACACTGGTACTTCTACTTTTACTCAAGTACAATATCTGAGTACTTCTTCCACCTCTGTCTGATTAAAAAAACTCTTCCTTTAACACCCTGAGTAAGTTTGCAACTGTGTGTTTCACTCCACTTTGGTGTAAATAGAACTGCAGCAGCTTGACCACAGAGCGTGAACGTTGTGATCAGCTGATTTTGAGCAGTTCTCCAGTGTGTGCGTGGGGCACAGAGTGTGCTCAGGGGAGTCTCCCACTGCAGCCAGTTGGCAGAGTTTTGGCACAATGATGTTGTTCATACCGACGTTAACCCTGTCTGTGCACACGGTGAACACCTCTGTTGTCCGGTGATCTAAGGTGCTGCTCACACAGGAACGTTTGCGTTTATGCACAGTATGCGTTTTCAAAAAAGTCTTCCGTTCACATGTATTCGTTTCATTTGACGTGTCTGTTCACACGAGAACGCTGGAAACGCTGTAGTACATATGCCGGGCCTGTATCTGGCGCTGTAACTTCCGCCACAAAATACACCAAAAGCCCCTCGTAGTTTACTCCATTGACAAGAAACACGTGTAGACGAAATATGTGTTTTGTTTAGATGTTTTGAGGTACGCAAAGGCGCGTAGTGAGTGACACAAGTGACGTTACGCAATTCAGATTTTTGCCACGCATGCGTACCAGTTATGTGCACCCCTGGTTATAGCAGTGTGTGTTACAGTTTGAGAAAGTACCTTTTGTCTATCTACTTATAGCAGGACAACTTGACCTGATCTAAGTTTATTTCTGGTGTTATCCTGGTATGATATGAAATGTTTTCATGGAATCACTAAGTGTTCCTCACCAGAGAACTGGGCGCAGCAGGCAGCTCCAGCAGTGGGTCTGCTCAGGACAGTGGAGGATAAGGAGGCCTGGATGTTGCTGCAGTACACAGCCAGCTCCATCATCACCTCCTGAAGCTTCTGCTGGTCCACTGCACAACAAGACACCGCAATTACAACAAGAAAGAGTGGTAACGTTTAACCATTTGTGCATCTTCTTATGACAGACGGGGGAAAAATCAAAATGTTCTAACCCTGGTTGGGGGCGAGCACGTAGAAGAGGGAAGGACTGGTGACTGCTGCAAAGCAGGGCTGAAAGGTGTCATTAAGAGGCAGCTCCACTGTCTTCCAGTCCACTGGGAAAGATGGGACTATGACAAAAACAACAACACATAATTGCAACAGGGCAGCTAAAAACATCAACCATTCCTTTTCACCTTTTGGCCCTCTATCTGACCTTCTGACGGCATTGCAGTTGGCCCTTCAGTTGGTATCTCTTTGGCTCCTGTCGGTGTGGAGGCTTGCACAATTATTTGGGTCTCTTTATGTTCCTGTGTTTTCTCTTGGTGTCCAGAGTCTGAGGTTGTCTCTTTGGGAATCCCTCCAGGACCTATGGCTAGTTGCTCCGAGATAAGAGCAGCGGCCACATTGTGCCCTCTGCTTTCCAGCTCAACACCGTAGCCTTGTTCAGTGAGAGATAGGACCCGTGCAGAGAGCTGCTCGCCGTCCACCAGATTCTGGAACCACAGCAGTGCTTCACTGCTCCACTCAGATCCCAGGGGCTGCACACCTGAGTCCAAACACAACACACACAAGCTTTGAGAAACCACATAACCTGGCTGAAAATGCCCCCCAGAAACAACCTCTGCTACTTTCTCATCATGGAGAAAAGGAATTCATTTCCAGTGTTTCCCCTACCATTGTCTTGGCGGGGCGCTGCGCCGTGCCAACGGAGCCCCGCACCCCGCCTGAAATTCAAGGTGTTTTTTATTTAATAAAAAAAAAAAATATATATATATATATATATATATATATATATAGCACCAAATTGCAACTGAAGTAATCTATCTACAGTCACTTTTCACATTGAACATGTGCTCTTTTATTAAATAAACTAAACACCTATGTTATTTATCCAATGTTTGTGCATGTTCCAGTGTCCACTGCTTTGCGTATTCACATTGTCCCTCCGCTCTGTTTCTGAAGGGCGGGGCTCTGCTCCCCCCCCCCCCCCACACACACGAATGCACACACTCACAATCAGAGACAAGAGCGGAGGAAAGGAAGAGAACAACAAAGTGTAAAAAAGTCAAACAAATCTGCATTATTGCCCCGAGCTCTGCTGTCTGCCCGTTTGTGTACCCCCCCCCCCCCAGTTTCAAATTCGTTTATTATTATTTTTTAAAAACGTAAGCCGTTATCGTCACGGGAGAAGGACACACACAGCCTGCCCAGCCTGCACACGCGACAATGAACGTAGCGTGTGCATTCTAAAAATAGCTCACAGATGGTGAGCAGGTGCCGCGGTTTTGAACTACAATATTGAATTTGACAGTTCAGTACAGTGTAACACTGTACTTTACTACTTTTTAATGTACAAATACTTTGTTACTGTACGATATCAATAATCTACAGCTCCTCTCTCTGCTCCAGAAGATAACAAATTCGGGGCACCCCCCCCTCCCCCCCGCAGCACCCTGCCAAAGCAGTAAACCTAGGGGAAACACTGATTTCCTTTCTTATTCACACTCTCCTCGCTCTATCACACTACCTGTGAGCCAGCAGCGAATTGCCTGGAAGGGTAGAGTCAGGAGTCCAGGTGTAATGGATCGAATGTGGTTCTTTTCCACTTTCATGGTATAACCATAGTCCACAAAGTTTACAGACACTTCTTCAGCCAGCTCATTGACCAAAGCCCGATACCACTCTCCATCACCTGGGGAGCGAGAAAGCACGTTAAAGTAAATCCCAGAAAAACTGAAAATAAAAAGGAGAATTCTGAATATAATCTGATAAAGGTTGTTTGAAAAGTTCCATTTGTCAACAGATCATGCATTCAACTTGCAGATGAAATGTAAAAACTGCATTTCATTTAAAAACAATACATTGATCCAGATAGCTTTTAAACCAAGATCAATGAATATCTTGTTCTGACTTGAATGCCAACGTTTCAAGTCCTTGATGTTTCAACAGTCAATGATCTCACCAGGAAACATGGCACAGCAGGGCTCCCCCACTTTGGGCTCAAAAGGGGAGGCGTGTGCCTCACAATGCTTTTTCAACTCACCGCCCAGCTCTATCAGTCGCTGATGGTCTGACAATGGACAAGATGAGAAAAAGGACACATTAAAGTATCATAGTAGCAAATCATCAAATCTTAGATGGAAATTAAATGAACATAAGCTTGGCACAATAAATCAATTAAAATACGTTGTTAATTTATGTCCATCATTCTGGGAGTGCAATAAATTATGAAATAATCTACAGCCCCCTATGATGGACAAACAACACTACCTGTGGGATTGTTGATGCGGCAGTAAAACTCTAGAGGGTTCTCCACCACGCTGGCCAGCAGCGCCACTGTCTGGCCGTCACTGGGAAGCTCAGCACACGACCACACCAGAGGCTCACAGGCTGGGGGGGGCACTGAAGAGCATATTCAAACAACATGATACATGACATGCCTTACTGTCTGCCTACTTACATTATGTATATTATAGTCAAAACTATAAAGTCGTCATCAAATTCTCTGATTAACCAGTTAAGCAGTGAGCCTGTTTTTCAGGTCTCAGGCTTGAAAATTACATTCCCAGAACAATTGACTATAACTTCACTTCTAAAAAGGGTACATTAATAATCATTTTTCTCAAAGCAATGATAAACCTGTGAATTGGATGTAGAAAAGTCAGAATCAATATAGATTTTTTTTCTTTTAAAGTAAATTCAGATTGAACATAGGAAAAAAATGTAAATTATAGTGTCCGTCCAAAATAAAAGCATTACTTAAAGTGAAAACCACCCTTGAATGATGGGATAGTAGACTAAAATCTTTACGAATCCAAACTATAACATAATAGTATCCCTGTATCAAGATTGATGCAAAACAAGTGACATTTGACCTTTTTAAGAGAGATTTAGCAAAGAAAACCCTCTTCTGGAGTCATTTGCCATATCTCTGGCCCCACTCCGTCGATTTTGATGATTGACACCTCTTTTGAACCGTTGGAGCCAATAGAATTGAGCGGAAGTTCCCTAAAATCCATCTAAACATTACCCATTGGTGAATGAGTGATGCGTAGCCAGAATGCCCAAAACCGGAAGCTGGGTTGTAGCTCTAATAGTGCTAATAACAGCTAATATGAAATCTCCGTTTTTGACAAAAATGGAATGATGGATTATCAGTAATAATTTCAAAGTGACACAGAAACATTGGATTAACCTTCGGCAGCGTTTTAATGCCATTGAACACAACTTTTGATCAGAAAACAGCAACGGTAAGACTTATTTTCCGTTTTGGTCCCGTAAAGCTACGTTGTGGGATGTCTGAGTTTGCTTCCCCTGCCGCGAGTTTTGATCGCTCAGTGATAATATTTATACCCCCAGAATCTGTGGAATCTCAGCTTGCTAGCTGATTGTTTGTGCAGATCCAATAAGTAATAAATACATATTTATACCTTGAGTTCTGTGCGTTAGCATTTTTTCGCTTAGTGCTAATTCAGAGGCTTGGCGTTAGAGTTGCGTTTCGTTTAACTAAAAATGGTCAGTTAGAGTTTCTTCCCGTTAAGTGGGTATGACACATTCATATGGTCGTTAAATATTAAGAAGCCCTGAGACAGTTTCGTGGAAAAAAAGAAAGCCCTGTGATAGAATATTCAGACTCAAATAACACTTTAAACTAACATCACCCGTATGTCCAATATCTGGGAAGGTAGAAATAGTCATCTTTGTAGTTTGTTCTCAACTATTTTAAATAAAAAAACATTTTGGGGGATTTTCTCAGTTTTAGACATACCTTTATATAATGTTCATATAAAGTAACATAATCATTTTAGACATCCCACCGTGTGGTTCTGCAGCAGCAGGTGTCTGCTCAGCCTGCTGCTCACTGCCGGTTGGAGGAAGAGGAGCAGGTACAGCGAAGCCTGCCGCCATCAGCAGCTCGGCGACATTGGCCTGAGGATCACTGGCCTCATCAATCATGGCCACCAAAGCTTTGCTCTCGTGTGCTCTCTGGATTTCCATGCGCAGTATTCGATTGGATACCCTCCGCTGCAGAGCCAGCAGGCACTCCTCAGACCAGACCTCCCCCACAGGCTGCACCCCTGGAAAGAGCCCAGTGAAAGAGGATTGAGAAGGTTTGAGTGACAGATTGTTTCAGATATACATTTGTGGTTTTAAGTTTGTGTTTAACTCTGCAAACAAAATCCTCAAATGCTTTGCAAAACCTTATCTTTATGCCTTAGAACCCATAGAACATACTCGCATCAAATTCATATTTAAATAGCAAACTGCTTCAGGGGCATTGTAGATATATTTGTTCTAGGAAAATAAATGTATAAATACAAGAGACATTTCATAGCTATTGGAGATAAATAGAAGGATTTGCTTAACTAGTCTTGAGCAAACGAAAAGCAAACTGATAAATAGCTCTAAAAAACAAACCGGATTTTTGCGGTTTTTGAGGGCCACTAAAGAATGAATGAAAGGTAAACTATGAAAATGTTATTTAGGCCTGTCACTCAAAGCAGATCCCTCAAACAATTTAGCACACTTTAGTAAGTTGTAACCATTAAACATGTGCTTTGTGGTGCATACATTACCTGCTAGACCACACGGCACAGCCTGCATGGGCAGGGCCAGCAGTGAGGAGCTGATAGGCCGCAGGTGGCCTAAATCCACCTCCTCAGAGTTGCCAAAATCTAGGTAGCCCACACAGACACGCTCCTCTGATGAATAGGCCAGAATTTTGGCCCTGTACCACTGCTTGTCCTCTGGAGAAAAAAAAACACAGCGGTCAGAGCCTTGGGTAACAACGCATGTCAACCAAATACTAATTTGATATTATTATTTAAATCATTTATAAGAGGGATATACTTGTTGCAATATACAACAACTAGGTTCAATGTTACTCCTGTATATATATGTTATACCTGAGAACTGAGCACAGCAAACTGTGCCGGGGGCTGGTCTGAAGTTCTGGGGGGTCGGTGTCCGGCTGCCGTGCTCCCTCAGCTTCAGCTGCAAGTCCTGAATGACTCCTGTAAAACAAAGCTCACAAGTTAAAGATATAGGTTTGGATGGTGCGTTTGTAGTACCAGATGAAATGCTACTTACCAGCGTTCTCCACCTTCTGTACGATGATGTCATCGGGTGACTGGAGGTGGGTGACCACAACAGAGAAGGAGTCGCCCACCGCCTGTGTGAGGGGCTCCGGGGGCTGAGCCCAGGTGTTGTCATCCTTTCCATCAGAGCAACGCCTGAAGTTCTCCAAGGATGCACTCACCATGGCATCTGAGGGAAAACAAACTTTAATTACCTAAATTGGAAGCAAAAACACAACAAATCCAGAAGGGGAAGAATTCCATTACATCAGAGACTCAATGATTTGTCATATTTATCTGAAGTATCCGTCAAATCTGTCTGTAAAATTAAGTTACTTTCATTTCTGTTGATACCGCAAAAGGCATCTGTATATTAAATATTTCAGCAAACTGTGCTGTTGCACATATAACTTGCTTTGAGGCCATGAGCCATATGGTTGCATCCATTGTTGTGAGAATATTGTATTGCAGTGTTTTTGGACACTTGTGAATTATGCGTTATATGTTTTGTTTTTGTTGAGCGCACAGGAATAAATTCCAAATAAACTTCTGTTGATATGGCAAACGATTGACTCTTGAATCGTGTAACAGGGATGGACGAAGTTATCTCCCCAGCTCTATCCCTTATGTCACAGCCCTGTTCTGCAGACTGATTTCAGATGGGGTGGCTAAGCACATATGACTTACTTATTTCTTGGAAGTTGGTGTTTCGCTGACTGTTTCCTCTGCTGCATATCCATGCTCCAGGAGGAATGTGCTCAACTTCTTTCCTAGTAGACAAAAAATAAAGAGTTTTATGCATGGCTTTAAACGTTTGCAAATCATTTCCTCTATCTCCATCACAAATAACACTTAAACCATTAATTACCCATGATTTCATCATTTTCCAACTTTGTATAACCTACCCATGGAAAGCAAGATATCCACAGCATGAATGCGACCATTTTCTAGCGTTTCCTCGAGCTTAACAGTCACAGTCTTGCCGGCCAAGAGCCGTTTCACTGACAAACAGCACTCGGCTGACCAGCTGTCAGTCACAGGAACCACCCCTGTAATACGGCACTCCATTGCCTGGGAATGATAGATGCAAGTGCTAATGTCATCATGCTAGCTGTAAGACACTGAAAGACTGTGTAAAATAATTGTATGTTGTGACAGTGTGTTATCTTTGCCATGCTTAAAAACTGTATAAGGTGGAGCGTAAATGCACTTACACATGGACAAAATGGCGGAATATTAGCTGCAAGAGGCTTGATCCTGTCCACAGGGACATTCTCTTCATTGCCGAAGTCAATGTAAAGGATTTTAGCTGTCTTCTGGTCAGCAGCCAAAGTCTGGACAAGGCCTCGGTACCAGTTCTACAAACACACACAAATAGAGTGAAACATACAAGTGATACAGGCAATGATTGAGCCAATCGGTATATTAAACTTTTTCACTGATTTCATCTAGAGAAGGCCTCTGCTCACCATGTCAAAAGAGAATTTAACCCCGCAGACCTCTCCAACGTGGGGTACGTATGTTGTCACTGATGGGCAGCTGTACGTTTTCTGAAGTTCTCTGCTTATGCTTTGAAGAGCGACCAGCAGCTCAGGACTTTGGGCAAGGATGAAGAACTTGCCAGGGCTGTAGAACTCTACAACAGATGCCTGACAACCAAACATAATCACAACAAAGTCATTGCATGTTAGTATTTTTAAACGTTGGTTGGATCAGTCTTACAAATGAAGGCCAACTGGATATGTTATACCTGGATGTCTGTTCCCTTAATACTTTTTGTCATATGCAAGTCCTTAAAATAGACCCTCTCGAGGCTGGATGCATCACATTGCTTAAAAAAAGAAGAAAGAGGTTTAACATACGTAACAAACATTGACCACAAATCATTCACATTGGCCTATTTCAAATCTGCTAATACCTTAGACTCAAGCATGCTAGCTTGGTCTCCCGTCACTGGCAAAGCTTCAGTTTCCTGAGTTTTCTCTCTGAGATTAAAAGAAACGCGTCAGTGCACATTATCTATTGGACAATATATAATGAATCTATTCTTGACTGGTGAATCACATTGATATTTGCTGTAATTAGAAAATCATCACAGCTGACAGTAAGTAGCACTTAGGGTTGACCCAGCTTACTTTGCAGGTTCTGGATCGATGGACTTGCACATGTGTCTGTGTGCCTTCCAATCTTCTGTCTGACACGTCACAGAGCAGTAGGGCGTCTTCTTGCAGCGCTTACATCGAAAATGTCCTGTCACGTGAACATTTATTAATTAGAGATTGCTAATTGTATTCGATTTAAATAGAAATATGCACTAACAAAACTTTTCTAAGTGGTAAGAAGGAATGATCTAGTAAAGGTCATCAAAATTGTTTTTGTTTTGCCTCAATGATGGATCATTCTCTAACAGTGTTTCCCCTACCATTGGTCTTGGAGGGGCGCTGCGCCGTCAACGGAGCCCCCCCCTGAAATTCAAGGTGTCATACATTTTTTTAATTTGTTCTTTTTATATTATTATTTGTTTAATATATATAATAGCACCAAATTGCAACTAATCTATGTCTACTGTCACTTTTCACATTGAACATGTGCTCTTTTATTAAATAAACTAAACGCTTTCATTTTAAGTTGTGAGGTGTAGTGTTTTTGACCCCTAACAAACACTGATGCATTAATCAATAACAATAATCCACAGCTCCTCTCTCTGCTCCAGAGGATTTAAAAATATATATATCCCAATGCCACCCCCCCGAACTTTACATGCCCATTAACATGCCATTTTACTACAATATTACCTTTCTGACCACAGAAGTTGCAGAAGTATACCACCAGTGCTGGTGGCATGGATCCTAACATCTATTAAAAAGGGAAAGGAAAATGTGGAAAATGGCAATGTACAGCAAAACATATTAATTAATCTAATAATAAAGAACAGTAAAGTTGTTACATACTGCAGTTGATCCATGCTGACTTGTGCATTTGTAGGGCCTGCAAAAAAGATAAATGAACAAATAAGGGCCAAAGTAAGGTTTTCTATGAGCTAATACAATTGCCATGCTTTACAGTTAACGTGGTATGCGCTGCATTTACTAATTGCAGTTGTCCAGATTAGAAAAAAACAGGTATTCCCGGCAGGTGCTCTCCGGTAATAAAAGCCTTTCGGCTAATGATTGCAATGATTACCGTCTCAACGACGCCTAACAGTGGCTGCACATGTGTTGCATCGGGCATGGTGGGAGCCTGAGATCTGGTCGGAGGTGTGAGGCCTCGGGCCGACAGGAGCGAAAGGGCTCGACAATGGCTTCCTCAGAGGCAGGTTAGGTCGAACAAAGTTTGAAGCAAATGAGCGGTACATGGCGGCAGCTGCTAATGTTAAAAATATTCAGTTATGTTAGACAGTTTATTAAAGTATATTTCAAGTATAAAAAGTGAACAAAACATCGTTATGCTCTCAGGGAGGACACGTGCGTTTTTAGCTAGCTAATCAGCATTGACCCCGCTAACGTTTCACTTTGCTGGGACTGATGTTAGCCCGCTAGCTACTTTTAGCTAATTACACGGCGACAGTTGAACATAACGTTGAACAATACACTGGAGTAAATGTTGTTATCGACACAGCTGTAATTATAAATCACAAATAATGAAATATATATACACTTTATAGATTTATATTGCGCAGCCAATATTTGTTACCTGAGTGCACGTACTGGCAGAATGAGGAAAGTGCCGAACACATGCGCACTGGATTGTGGGTAGGTCTATGCTCAAAGGGTGTGGTCCATGGGGTGTGGTCAGGAATAATATATTTGTATTGGGTTAATATTAAGTGACATTGTATCCATACATATCCAAAAGTGATAATTGCTTTTTTTTTATTATAGGGAACAACAAATTGGCCTTGGAGCTATGAGGAATTTAAGTGACTTGAAAATATTGTTAGTGCTCATGCCTGAAACCTCTCCATCATGTGCATTGATTGCTGGCGTTGTCACTCAGTCATTGCACAATGCACACTGACTTTATTAATTGCATTTTAGTCAAATAATGTATCAGTACAATAATCATGGGCTGCAAGTGAGTACATGTATCACATCAACAGTATGTGACATGTTGTATTAAGTGTTTTTTTCTTTGTTATTTGTTAAAATATTAACGTGTCTGTAAATCTATAAAATTATGTGAAAGTTTAACTTTTTCTCCTTTTTATAACAATTCACTTGTGACGTTTGACATAATACAAAACAGTAAACATTTAGGCATAATAAAAACTTGAGACAGAACAGGCATGGTAAAAGTAGAAATAATAAAGAGGAAAAGAAAAAAACAGAAAAGGAAGGCTATAAAATCCAGTGTAATGTAATGTGGAGGTGTACCTGCCATGCGTTTACGTCAGACTGACGTAACTTCTTCACTGGTCTCTGATTGGTTTATATCTCCTCCATCATTTTCTCTCCCGCAGTGGCCATATTGTTGATGTGTCATATCAAAGTGACTTGTTAGGGCTATCAGCTGTTAAGGCAGAAAGCTCAAAGTTATCCCTTATACCGGTTCGATCGCATTGGGTTACAACATGGGCTTTTTGCATTCGGTAGGTGAAAATATAATCATGTTTATTAAGCGTCATGTGTCATGTATGTTGGATTGCAGCGTTAGTTTCGCTAGCTGCAGTGTAGCTAACGCCTCTCTTATCAACGTTAGCTTAGCTAGCTACAGTAAGCAGTGGATCCATACAATATGTCAGTCTGCACTTATGCGTAACATACATTTGAACCACCCATTGTTGGTATCATATGTGTTACGTTATGTAAATCGTGTCACTAATGCCTTGTTTTGTTAACTAAGCAGCTAGCAAGATTAAGTTAGCATTGGTATGGCTATCGTTAAATGAACCGAACTGTTAATAAAACGACAGTAAATACAAATGGCACTTCGGCCTGCTGCTATCTAACTACACAGTCACCTACCCAAGGCATGAACACGTAAATCGTGTATTTTGATTCGGCTGGTTACTGATTATTATGTTCACTCATTTTGACATTGATGGCATGACACCTGTCGAAAAAGAGCATCAACGCCAGTGTGTGTTTTTATCTGTTGTGCTTTCACCATTTAACGCGATAAGCTTAATTGGCTGGATATATGTGGCTATGATCTACCTATTACTCATTAACGTAATGCGGTAGCTATGGAAAAACTGTAGTGAGTACGGATTAGATGATAAGGAAAAACCAATGACAAATTGTTCTGGTGGGATTCAGGGTCAGGAAACATAGTGTTGCATATCATCTTTCAAATGCAATATCTAAAACTAAAAGCCATGGGGATAATGTTTAACTTATATTTGATGTATGAGGTTAACACATGACTGAATGTTTAAGTATGAGACGGGAAGACTTTGTTTATTAACCATTTCCATGTCTCTGGTGAGAAGAGGTTTAGTTGTTAATTTAAATCCCTCACATAAAGTCACCAAGAAAAGTGTCATCAAGCTAATCCATAAATGTTGTATTTCATATTCTTAAAAGTAGACATGTAAATAGAAACACGTGTTCATCATGTACCATTGGTACATAATACATTTAAATAAAGCTTAATTATTAGTAGGAGATATAATTTGTCATATTGCTTCAATTGTATACTGTACTTGAGAAACATTGTACAGTTATTTTCCATAATCAAATCCTACCAAGTGTGTCATGAGAGATTTGAAAGATAATGGCATTAGGGTGAGGCTTTGTCATGATCTAAAATACCTATCTAAGTTGTATGACATACAGCGCCACAGACCAACAAGTGTAACCCACGTAACAGGTGTTGATAAAACATCTTAGTGTGTGTATGTTGGGCATGACTCTGTGTTATTATGTGGTCCTTTTGTTAACAAATCCTCTTGCAAATAACCATGTGGAAATATAAATCTTGCTCTCTGGTTACTCCTAGCTCAACACAAGGACAACATTGTGCCCAATGACCACGCAATATTGCTATATTGGTTACATTCAGGAATTTTAGGCTGTTCACAGAAAAACTATTGTGACCAAATTTATGAAAACAGTTATTTTGTTTTGCACAATTTGAATCTTGCTATCTTCTCTGTGTGTCTACCTTTGCCTCTACCAGATTTGAACCAGAGAGGGACCATGGAACAGCCTGGTCCTGCCTCGGATACACACATGATGGAGGGATCGGAGGTTGAATCAGTGTCAGAAGAGTCACAACCGGGGAATCAGCATCACAACAGCGCATCTAACATAGAAGAGGAGGAAGACATCTCTCACAACCACAGTGCGGATGAGGCGGACAAGTTCAGTCAGGCAAACGATGAAGCAGAGCTTGACAGAGAATTCATCAAGACTACAACAGATGTTCAGACAGGCATACAGACAAGGTCGGAAGCTCAAACATGCAGTCAGGAACATGAAGAGGGGAGTGAGCTTGATGCTGGCTGTGACAGCAGTACAGCTTTTATGCAAAGCAAGCTCCCTTCCCTTTCAGATGAGGCTGCTGGAGCTTCAGTAGCCCCAGTCATAGCTTTGGATGAGGTGGAAAGCTCTGATTCTGTTTCTGAAGGCACAGCAGAAACCTTATTGACTCTTAATGAAGTGAAGGATTCTCATGCCACACACTGCAATGAGCAGCCATCAGTCTTGGTCACAAATTGTCCCACAGAGCCATCGCCTGCTGATGATAGCAGCTCAGCAGAGAGTCCATCATCCCCTTCCCTCCAAAGTGCTTCCAAAAACTCCCCTACTGACTCGACAACCACCTCCGGGTTCTGCAACGGCCCTTCTACCCCCAGTTCAGACACAGTGGGCTCATCACCTGCTTCCAGCCCGCAAACTAGTGCCGACAACTCGGCCCCCTCCCATTCCTTCTCAAGTCCGTATGACACTGATTGCAGCCGAAAGCTTATCTCCCAGATCCAGCGCTCGCTGTCACAGGAGTCGCTGCTGGATGAGCTTGAGTCAGAGCTGTTGTCTTGTCAGCTGCCTGAGGGGGAACGTAAAGGTGAGGGCAAAGGAAGCCCACCTATCAACGGACTCCCTACAGACCAAGAGAACTGCATGGTGGTCTTTGAGAAGTGTGTGCAGTACCAGTATGCACAGCAGGAGAAGTCGATTCAGAGGTAAAGTGTTATTTCGTCAGTTAGAATGGACGCAGTATGCCGTCAGTTATTAGATTATTTCTGTCTCTGGTTTATCTGCTGCCTAGAGTAGCTGAAGGCCACCTTCGTAACATCATTTTAAACTGCTATTTGTACAGAACAGTTTTGCAAGTGTTTTACCTACTTTCTAAATGCTATTGTTTTCTTTTCCTTGCACATTCTTTTTTTTTAATCTCCCTTGATTTAGCAAACACACAAGAATAATTGTTTCAAGTAATCTTTTTCTAATTATTTGGCTAAATGACAGAGAGTGACCCAAATACTTTCCTATCCGGCGCTGTTCGACCTTCATTACAACACTCTACATTCTTTACTAATTGGCTAGGATTTGACCTGAGTTGGTATTGTGTGTGTTGTTTCTGTCTGTGTATATAGGCTGCTCGAGGAAAACAAGAGGCACCAGGAGCTGATTTGGGTATATGTTCAGAGAAGGACAACATGAGGGATGAACTAAAAAAGAGGACAGAAACGGAAAAGCTGCACATGGCCACTATTAGAAAGGTTAGTTTATTTCTCTATTGTCCATTCCCATTGTTCACGGTTCATATGGCACTGACTGTTGGAGCACAAACACAAGTAATGTGCTCTGTATCATCAGTATCCCTTGGTCTAACACAGGCATATTCTGAAATAATGGGCCATGTTTGTCCTGCATGTCTCTCCAAGCTATTTTTAATCATTTTTGGAACACAATGGAAGCATATGTTTTTCATTAACAAGGAAGCGCTCCTCTAAAATGTTTTGTCTCACTTCCTCCCTGGCGTGGACATTGATTTTGGCTGTAAAATGTTTTGTGTTAGAGACTGACACAGCTGAAGAAGATGCTATAAGTAAGTTTATGGTTAAGAGCATTGATTCTTTAAAGTATTTTCTACCTGTAATTTAACGAAGCTTGCGTACAAGTACTTATCTATTAATTGGATCTGGTCTAGCATCACTGTTGCCATAGAAGGCACAATAATTGATTCTTGCTTTCTTAGTAACAGCATTTGTTTAACCATTATGTAAGCAGTAGGAGGGATTTTATGGCATGAACCCAATGTATGCTTTTTTTTTTTCTCTCCAAACACCATATTTAATTATGTTAGACATATATTGATTCAGAGATTGCCAGAGATATTTCAACAATATTTTCCAGTAAAGGTTTCAGATTTCCAGGACTGGAACAAAGCCAAACTGACTTCCTCTTTGTGCGCTCTCTAAATTAATTCAGCCTCCAACATTGTGAGTCAGGTGTCACCCTGTGAAGCAGATTATCCCAGGTGAGGCATTGACTTACATGTGGCCTAACAAGTTGTTGACTGTCTACTCCCTGTGTATACAGTTGGAGGGCAGGGTGGAGGAGCTGCTGAAAGAATTGAAGGAGTCTCGGGATAAACTCATCCATCAGGACCATGCGGCTAAGGCTGCCCTCCAGCACATGCAGAAGGAAACGTCACACAGGCTTGAACAGGTATAACAGGACACAAATACTTGACAAGCTGATCACACTATGTAGTTTCGCCCTAGTCTGACCTGTATTTGCATGTCTGGATTTGTTCCAGTTGGCTGCTACAGTATCTTTATTTTGCCAATCGAGTTTAACTCCCAATGAAACTTGTAAATATTATTATTATACCCATTCAATCAGATGTTTTTTTCCATTTTTTTGTGGAACTATGGTAGGAAATGAAACTTCTGTATTAATTTAATGTAGCGTGCATTTCAGTTTTACCCAGGACCCTTTACATTTCTTTCGAGTCATCTTATAAAATGTTTTAAATGATAGCTATGGACTTGCATTTATCCAGTCCTGTTTGGAATAAAAGGGGAGACTTGCCTTAAGTGAAGATGACTACATTTATTCGAGTTGAATTAGTGATAACATCAGACACTTCTACCAAATGCTTTAGGGATACTTGGTGATGTACACATTTATTAAGATATAATGGGATGCTCAGTTGTTTGAGTATTATTGATATATTGACTACAGCTTCTGTGGTCAGAGATGTCCCTATGTGGCGGCAACTTGTCAGAGAGAAATGGAGAGAAAGGCATTTCAAACCACAGCACTTGTTTGCACTCTTGATCATCAAGACATTCAACATAAATAATTAATGCTGTATGTGTTCAAGAAAATGGGTTTTCAATGTCCATTAAGAGAGTTCAGGGATAAGGAACAGTCTTGTGAAATGAATTAAAGATTTGCATTCACATTTGGTGTATGTGTAAACCACATTTATGCCAATGAATCAATATCACTTGTCCCACTTTAATGAACCAAAGTTGTTTTCATCCTAAGATTTAAATTATGCTAAGTAAGCTAAGATAAAGATTACTCACAGCATGACAAAAATGCAGTATCTTAGTTTTTGCCACTATCTTTGTCAATGTTTGCACAAAACAATTACCTGAACGGTCAAGCTTTTGCACCCCTAACTCTTGCTATTGCAGATTGAAGAAGAGCACTCCAATAGTTTCTCCACCTGGTTGAAACCATGTAGGGCACATTTCTCTTGACAGTTTTGTCACACTTCCCAATTTTTTAATTTCACTGTTCAGTGAACAATAGGAGGTACATTTTGCACTCGGCCGTCTCGTTTAGCCCTTCCTTATATCAGTCCTTCCTTACAATAAGATGGGGGTCCAGTCCTAATCAACTGTTGCCCCAGGGGTTTGACACATTTGTTCTATATATTGTATTATATAAACTCTCTATAAAGAACATTTCTTCCTTTTTTTTTAACTTACTGTATTTGATTTGAAGTGCACATTGTGATGCCCAAAGCACAACATTGGCTTTATCTATTTCACTGAAAAACACAAAAACTCTCATACAGTTTTCCCTTTCTTCTCTTGCTCTCCTGAAAGTGAATATTTCACATAAAAGATAAACCTGAAACTGTGAAGTGGCACATGAGCATTTCGTTGGCATGAGGAATGAACACACAGGTGTGAGACCCGTAGTATGTACCACAGTGTCCTGCTCTTAAACGTGCAAGAATAAAAAAAAAGGATTGATAATTAAAATATGTTCTAGTTTGCATGTGTACTAAATAATGAAGTATTAATACAACCTAGTAAACATTCAAATAGGCAACATAAAATTGCCTTCGTAACATTGCTGTCAAGCGGGTGCATGTCAGCTCTATTTGTAAAATGTATACAAGCTGTCAGCTATTTTTTTGCATCCACACTAAGAAAACGAGGTCGTTCTCACCATCTATCAAACTGTCCATAATTCATTACTTGTACAAGTCAACGTTGACATTTGGGAAAATATATAGATCTATTTCATGATCCATTTCAGGTGAACAAGAAGTGTGACGAGGCCCGCCTGGAGAAGGAGGGCATGGTGATGAAGTATGTGCGGGGGGAGAAGGAGGCCCTGGACCTGCGGCGGGATAAGGAGAGTTTGGAGAAGAGGCTGAGAGAAGCCACGAAGGAGGTGGACCGCCAGGCCCTCCGAGGAAACCAGCTGGCTCAGGATAAGGGTCGGATGCAGCAGCTGTACGACGCTAAGGTAAACACTGACAGGTTTACATGCCTTATTAAAGAGTGTTTGTTTTAAAAACCTTCAATATTAGGACCTAAAAACTCAACAACAGCAGCACTTCTTACTGTGTTATCCGATTTAGCCTTAAAGTAACCTATGACAAAGGTACATTACTGTTATTTATGGTAGATCTTTTGTTGCAGTGTTTTCATGTGGCAAATTGAGTGAATTTAGTATTATTTGCCACTCGGGACAATATAAACATACAACTGCCACACTTATTAGTTTGTACTTGAGAGTAAAGGACACCACGTCACATGTTCATTCTCCATATCAGTTTATTATAGACGAACAAACACTGTTTTGTGCATGCTGATTTTATCTTGCTTGTCATTCTTACCATGGTCTTCTATGTCAGCAGTTTGTTGGATTTCCGACTTGTAAGCTTCCTATACATATTAGAATTAGCAGGAGAAACACATCAGGATTGTTAACTATCTCAGCTCAGCCGAAGACCCGTTGCTCTCCTAGCCTCTGATCCTGATCCTGCCCTTGCTTCACCCATCTCTCTGTCTCTCAGGAAGGCGAGGTCAGCAGGTTGACTCGAGAGGTGGAAAAGTTAAAAGAGGAGATCAACTCACATCTCATCAAGGTCAGATGGGCCCAGAACAAACTGAAGAGTGAGGCGGATGCACACAAGGTAATATAAATGTTATTGACTGTCAAACCGGATCATGTTTTCAACAGATATTCCTACTAAAATGTGCTTTTAGTTTACAGGCAGACATAGGGAAAATACATGTTGGTTCCAATGCTACTGTAAACATATCCAAAACACAGAGAAGAGATCAGTATATTTGTATTACTTTCAGAATACCATTGTGCTTTGGATGTGTTTTGTATTTGGCATGAACCTGAACTTGCTGCAGTCAAATTGTATTTAAATGATACATTGAACACACATGGCTACATTTACATATCTAATAAGGTTGACTACATACAGTACAGTACAGTGGGCATATCAGTTTCAACTTATTTTAGGTTTGTGGTTAATTTTAATTTCCTCCGTTTACCTTACAAACCACGCCAGTTGTTTGTCAAACATCTGCGTCTGCCAAGTATTTTCAGAATACAAATGGCGTCCCCTTTATCTGCAGCCGCTCCATAAAACACGATTAGATTTGTCTTTTTGATTCGGGGCGAAATGAAATGGGAGTGAAAATGGTACAGTAATGACCCTGAAAGGAAATCATCATTAACATTGTAGCTATTTTGGAAAATGACTATTACAAAATAATGCTTTTGTTTTGCTGCCTCCAGGCAAATGTACAACTATAAACAGAGGAAAGTGTGAATACTCGGCAGTTGCTCAAGGCCGCAGCAGCTGAGTCACTAATGTTTTCTTTTGTGGGGGTTTGTGTGGTTGTTGGGTGTGTACATCACAAATAACATTATGCATTTGCTAGGAAAGAAACATTTCCAAGTTATTGCACAGCTTTTATAAATTACTAGTTTTATTCAGAAGCAAAAAGCCTTTTTTACTGTCATTATTACAACATATTTTTATGTTATTTATCTGTGTGCAGGAAACTAAAGAAAACTGAGAAACCACTTCCAAATTGACCCAGGCCAAAGAAGAGACTGAACAGATCCGCAAGAACTGCCAGGACATGATCCGAACATACCAGGTCTGTGGTATTTATCACATGGGAGCATTAGTTTTCTCATGATCAATAATGTGAGCAAATATGAAATACCTGGTCATGTGTGAGAAACATCTTGTCTTTGTTTGTTGGATGTACTGGAGCTGGAGAATGCATGTTTATCTTTGGCAGTTTAACACTTGTGTGCTTAGCGAAATCTGAGAGTGCAGTCACTGAGCTAACTCACTGAAGATTTGAAACGATTGGTCAAAGAAGGAAGTAGTCAAATCTGATTGGACAGTGAGAAATGCATCACATGCTCCTGCCGTCACATACATGGACCGAGTGATTCTATTTCCACGTCATTACTTTTCATTTCTGCATTTGTTGTATAAACTTTGTAATTAGATGAGCAAAAAAATCGACTTCAATGATTTACTTTTATTCGAATGGCAGTTTTCATTTAGTCCTTGTGATGGTAGCAGAGAGCCGCTTAATATTTCTCTCCGTTTGAAAAGATTATTTGAGCCATTGTACTCGATCACAGTGACAGCAGATTTACACAGTAATACTGCATTTATTTAGTTATAATGTACATTGCCACTAATATTCGTATTCAAACCATTCTTGCACTTGAACGCAGTTAATCATAGATCCCAATTTTCAGCATTATTATTTACACCCTGTTGCCGTATATATATATTATAGTATGATATGCATACTTAACTTTTCTGCATGCACATAATCCATTATGAGTAATATATGACTCAAAAAGGTGTCGTTTTCCTGTCTATTCCCACTTATCAGCCATTTCTTATTGATTTACTCTAAGGCCAATAAAGTTGCATGTTAGATTTTGTGTGCTTTGGATATGCTGAGCCATTCTTATGTTGTTATATCAGCGTTCACTTATTTTCTCCCTGTCACTCTTGATTGTTGTCTTGTTTTTTTAATCTTTTGACCCCCCATCTCCTCCAGGAATCAGAGGAAATCAAGTCTAACGAGCTGGATGCTAAACTGAGGGAGACCAAAGTCGAGCTGGAGAGACACAAGCAGGAACAAACAGGCCAATTAGAGGTGCTAACCACTGTGCACACACACAAACACTTTAAAACACTCACCTATATGTATACACAAGTACTCATTAGTGTGTACATTAGCTTAAGTAGGCACTTTCAGTCCTGGACCAAAGGTGAAGCTTTACCATAAACATTAGCTGTTTATAAGCTTACATACGTGTTGATTAACTATGTTAACTATTTGGGTCTTGGTGACGATTCTCCAAAAATACAAAACAAACATTTATACAGACTTCCGACGAATTCAAAATTGCATAAACCTTCTGTTCCGCCAGGCCATTATTCAGCTCTTTATTGATGGTTTTGATGCCAGCTATTCTAGTAAAAGGTTTATTTTCAGCTGTTTTCATCACTACGAGAGGTGTAATTGCCTTCAATAAGAATGAGTAACCAACTGGCACATGGGCTCTACAGGCTGACACGCATGCACACAGCACTGACATGGACTGAATCCAAACACAATGGCCTGTTTTTCTCTCTGCCTCGTTCTGAGGGGAAATGCTCTTTAAAAATAATTGGCCTAGAAATAATCAATATAGCTGTGGGTTACAACAACAACAACAACAACCCAGAAAACATCTCACATGTCTTTCCATCATGCCACACTCTGGTTTGTTTATTCAGGGTGTTTACAAGACCTTCAATTTAAATCCACAAATATCACGCCTCAGTAACCGTTTTGTTTCCCCTTCAGTTTGCTTTCACCCCTGTTTTTTTCATTCCATTTGTTCATTTATAGATTACAATGATAAACACTGAGGTGATATATACAGTATATTGTAGGCCTATATTGTGTGTCAATTGTTTTTCTAAAAGATTTCGTAATGTAGCACTTCAGTTTAGGCAGGTAGCGCTTCCCTGCTGATGAAAAAATAGATCTAAATCTGTGCCTATTTTAGTATATGCTATAGTATATGTAGTATGATGCAACTTAGTCATAATAATGCAGTTGGGTGTCCATAACGCTGTGGGTGTAACATTAAAAAAGGATGGGCATGATGAATGGAGGGAATAGACGGTAAATTTGCCGGCTTCTCCATTAGTGGCATGTTGTCTTGGATACCACAGGCTACTAATTGCTTCTTGGAAAAGTTGACTAGCAGTCGTATCATTAATGGCTTTGTTCCAAAGATGAGACAAGACATTATTAAGCTTTTGCATGTGTAATGGCGGCATAAACAAAATAATGTTAATGAATGTCACAGTAGGATTTCCAGGAAGTGCATCTTCATTGAAAAGATGCTGCAGGATTTTTTTTTTTTCCCAGAAAGCAATTTGTTGCATAAGTCTGAATGAGGGTTAAGTTAATGTGTCAAATAATAACTGAATTGGTCCTTTGTAAATTCTGATTGTGATCAATTGGATGAAACACAGATAAGAAACCTTTCTAAAAATGTGATTCAGGGGCCTAGAAACTGAAATGATTTTGAAAGTAGAACATTTATAAATAGATAATCTCATATCTAATGTATCTGGCAGGTGCATCGAGTGAAGGCCAAAGAGCTGGATGACCTGAAAAGGAGCTACAAAGAGGGCATGGATGAACTCGTTACTCTACGAACCAAGGTTTGTCATATAAATACGCACTTGAACATGTGTGTGTGCACATGTCACCGACAGGACTTCAAGTTAATTAAGGGTGTGTGTGTTGTTCTGTAGTTAAAGTGTCTAGAGGACGAGCGACCACGCTGGGAGGACGAGCTGAGCAAGTACAGGGAGATCATCAACCGGCAGAAAGCTGAGATCGGACGCCAGAGAGACAAGCTGGAGGAGATCACTGCGCTTGAGGAGCAGCATCAATGGTACATACATACATACATTCATACATACATACATACATGCATACATACATATATATATACATACATACATACATACATACATACATACACACAGTGATCATGCAGGAACGGAACTTTAAATGCCAGGCATAATTGGTTTGATAGAACAGTGTAATATATATTTCTACTGCAGGATTCAAAGGTAGGCCAGGGACAGATATAGCACACTGGGCAGAGAGGGACTCTGGCCCCTCTGTGGCTCTGCAGGCCGTATGCAGATGACTTTAGAAACTAGAAATTAAAATGCTGCATTCTGTGTGAGCCATAAGTAGGTGGCGCCAGCCCAGATAGATTTTTGCAAAAGCTTCTCTACTTTCTTTCTGGCTGTCATTCTGAGCAGCATGACGTTCCTTCACCACTCGCACCAAAAACTGTAATTTGTTGGCAGGCAGAAAATAATTTGATTCCACCAGTTCTTTGCTCTGTAGAAAACTTCACTACCAGTGGAGATTGTGACCTTTATCCTGACTCGCTGGCTGTGGTCGAATAGTCTTTTTTAGCTTGAAGTATCAAGGCAGCCGTGATAAGAGCTGTTTGAATCCCCTAAATGCTATGGAAGGCATCTGCAATGCTTCCTTTCTTATCTCCTATAGCATAGGGTACACTGGACCATCCTTTTTGAAGGAACAGAAGATAATGCAATCCCACAATTCCTTGCGGCAGTAACATTAAACCACATGGCAGACGCATATGATAAAATCCTCTGGTAAATAGTTACATAGCCTACTGTAAGTGCAGTCTGCTTAGCCCTCGTGGTAGTCTTTTTAATTCTCCATCCCATCTTGACCTCATACCGTTTTTCATTGAGGTCAGGGTTAAGGTTAGTTATTTTGAAAATCAAACGGTTAGTGGTCATTTCAGATATTATGTATCTTCAGTGGTCCATTACAAATGACTTATTTGAATGAAATAATGGATTACCAATTGAAAGAGTGAACTATTACTGGTATGAATCATGTCACTCACTATTACATTTTTGCATAAACAATATTTCTAAGTCTATTTTCTGTTCTTTATAAAGCAAAATTGCCTGTTTGTCATACAGTGGTCATGTATAGTCTCCCTGACGGTACCTATTTCACACACACAAAATAATCAAAGTTCATTATGAATCCATTTAATATGAGCCAATAATTATTTCGTCCCGCAGTGATAAACAGGAGGTCACGTCTCTTCGTGAGGAAGTGGACAGCCTGAGTACCCAGATGGCCGACCTCCAGCGGGACGTCGAGGGCAGCAGGGAGCGCGAGGCAGAGCTGCTGGGCTTCAGGAGAAGCTGAGCAGTAAGAACGCCCAGCAGCTGCAGTCGGAGAGCAACTCTCTGCAGTCTCAGCTGGACCAGCTCAGCAGCAACTTCGCCGAGCTGCAGGCCAAGCTGGAGGAGACCAACCGGCTGCTGGACGACAAGGTGAGGGAACTCTGGACAGAGGAGTGAGATGTAGGAGTGGTACAGGACAGATGAGTGTTCTGGCCTGGATACAATTTCCTTGGACAGTGGTGTTTTAGACAATCAGAACATATTGAAGCAGTTTCTACTTTTTTTTAACTAGTTTTTATTTATTGATAAGGTTTGTCCATACATGTCCTTTGCTCAAAACACAAAACATATTTCTTCTTAGTTGATGTTAAACTAACAAAGAAAATGTCATATTGTATGTCTTTTTAATCTAAAAGCAGTTTTATTTTTTTATTTTACCTGCATTTTAAAAATAAATTCTTTAAAAAATACAACGGGTAAATAAAAAGGAACAATAAGAACATATAGCCAACATAATTAAACAAGTATTATTTAAAATAAGCAGCCAAAATAATTATAAAAGTGATAAGTTTAAAATAATTTGGCATGTATCATAATAAGGTACATTTCATTAAAAAGTGAAAAGACCACCACATTTATATTTGTACAAAAGTGAATTGCAAATTTCTAAAGGGTTTAGGATTTGTCCTCATAATGTCATCAAAGCTTTTCTCCTTGCTTCATGACATAGTAAAACAAACTCCTATAGGCTTGGCACAGATATAAATACATAGACGATACAGGTATTTTTTCTATTCAAACACAGGTTGTGAAACCAAGTTGTTTTCGGGACAAGCAGCCGTCGTGGAGTTATCTAGCCACTTTATCACGGCTGCATCATTAGTCTAACCCCCCCCCCCCCCCTGTGTCCATTTCCCTTGCAGTCTCGACAGCTGAAGCAGGAGGGGTCTCTGAGGCAGCAGGAGGTGCAGGGCCTGCAGGAGGAGCGGGCGGTGCTGCAGACGGAGGCGGACCAACTCAAAACCAGAGTGGAAGAGCTGAGGGACGAGCTGGTGACTCAGAAAAGAAACAAGCCGCCAGCATCAAAGACCTAACGAAACAGCTAACACAAGGTTAGGAAACGTGCTTACAGTATATTTCTGTAGCTCATCACGGTACAGTGCCCAACTTAATGTAACTGTTTCATCAGCAGATAAAGAGATTATGCCTAATGAGAGCCATGTAGCTCAGTGTGATGCTACTGTACAATCATGAAGCAGTGTCTCAGCTTGTTCCATAGCTTAAAGACAGACGTCTAATTACTAAATTCCTATATCCAGTTAAAAACGACCTATATATAAAGATTGTATTGTGAAAATGTGGTTGAAATTTGATAAGAAAACTTCTAGCAGACAACCACAACACTGATGGTTGAAGGGGAAAAAAATACTATAAATAAAAAAAAAAAAGTATTTTGTTCTCCCATTTTTATTTTCTAGAATTACAGTAAATTAGATGATTTAAATTCCAAGGTATCAAAAGTGTTGTATTATTTCCAGCCCTGCCAAAGTTGCCACTGCGTCATGTATCTAAAACCATATCGGAAAATGTCATGAGTGAAAAATATAGACTTCCTTCCCATCATCTAATTTGACGTCACTGTGATATTTATCTTTTTATTATGGAATGACCGGACTAAGACGCTATCTGTCCTCTGGATTTTAAGAGTAGAAAGTGCACGGTGATTAGAAACAAGAGAGATGGGAGTGCACTGTTAAAAGAGAGATAATGTTCTAAGGTTATACTTAATACACTGAGTCGGCTCCCAAAACATGGTTCTCTGTGACACTAAGGTACACAATTTGGAAGCTTTACCACCTTTCAGTTGTCAGCTGGGACCGATTTGTATTAGAAGAGCCAGTGTTCATTCATCAGTGTTGCTGTTATAGCTTCCCACTGTAATTTTCAGCCGCAGTTAATGCATGGAAGGTTTGCTGAGTGGGCACTTTTCTTTAAAAGCAGCCTGCGTCACCTTTATTCAGGTGGACACCTTCACAGAGGAAAAGTTCAGTCAAGCAATGAAGCTTAGCTTTGACTTTCAGACTGCCTTTTTGAGGGCTTCTGTTTCTTATAGTTAAGAGTTCCTTTTTGCATAGATGAGAGCAACACCTACGAAAATGATGGCCACGCCCACTTTTGGGGGAAAACAACGCTGTCATTTGAATGGCGGTCAATACAAATTCTGAAGTTTTTGCCAATTCGATCAGACATTTTTGAAAACCTTGGATCTTCAAAGAGCCCGATTACGATGGCCAGTCAGGCAAACGATTACATTAAATCATTGGAAATCAACGATCGGGCTCGATATATGGTTCAATTTAAAATCAGTAGACCAGGCTGTAATTTCGCCAGCTGTTACTCTCATCAGTGAGGCAGAAAATAATTGTTTTATCATGCCAAAAAGCTGCTGTGTCGTTTATTGCACCTCAAACATTAAAACAAATCTAGAGTTACGTTTTTTCTGTACTTCCTCTAAGAAAAAAGGACAGTAAAAGAAGAGCTCTGTGGCTTCAGGCTTGATCGCCGTTCAAATTACAGCGTTGTTTCCCCCAAAAGTGGGCAGCAAAGTGACGTAGATGTTACTCTCATCTATGGCTATAGTACATTTGTTCAAGTCATAATCCCTGGAAGTGTTGTCTGTTACCTTGAGGATAATGTTTATCAACATAAAAAAAGCTTCTGATTTCGACAGTTTTCAAAATCAATTATTTTTAAAAGTTATTTATAAAGAGGAACTATCAAATGTTGTCCAGTAATAATAACCCATTTTTAATGCAAATATTTGCTTGCTTTTCTTTTGTTGACATGATTGAATTACATTTTTTCCTCACTGCATTACGTTTTAGTTAATAACTTACTCTAATGTTCAGCAGTCAGCAATACCAACAATATATTTGTTATGAAAGCATGTATCTTAACATTCAGATTGTTTGTCATAGAGACTCTCAGTTATTTACTTTTTCTTCTTCTTCTACAGCTCGTAAGAGATTGGAGCATGTTGAGAACGGAGGCTGTGACCGGGATGCCAGCAGTATGGGCAGTCGCTCAAGTTCCTCAGGTACTGCTCCTGGATTTGGTTAGTATTTAACACATACAGAAGTAATACCATAGAAGAATTTAAATTTTACAAATATTTGTCCTATAGTTGTGTAATTTTTTTCTGGTGGCATAAAAACCCCTCCAAAGAAAATATAGTTTATTTAAAGGGGACCTATCATGCAAAATGCACTTTCTTATGTATTGTATACATAAATATGTGTCCCCGGTGTGTCGGGGAACTCACGCAGCGTCAGAAAATGAAACCCTCTCTCTTTTCCTCCGTACCCAAATCTCTAAAAACGGGGCTACAACGGAGCTGATCCAGATTTGCGTCCGATATGACGTAATGTCGGAAATGTGGGCTGGCTTTACACCCACGGCCCTATCAGAAACATTGCTATCAGAAACATTGCTCGACTGTTTTGGACGTAATATGGTCGGTGCATGTTGACATTAGCATCGCTAACACTCAGAGCTAACCTGTGCTGCACAGAGCATGTGTTTGAAGAAGCAGGAAATAAAAAGGAACTCACCTTGTGGTATAACCGGCAAGAGAGAAAGCCTTTGAGCTCCATACTGTTTCAGAAATAATCCTTGATAATGATATGGCGTTTCATCACCGCAGTATCTGCCGCTAGAATCTCCCGCATGAGCTCAGCCCCCTCCTTTTTTTTCATCAATTTCTTTTTTTTTTTGTAAAGCTTTATACCCCAAATCAACACTTTTGAAACAGGAAGTGAAATAAAGGGATATGAGGCATGGCTAGAATGGAGGATCTGTTTGGTATTTTGAGCAAAACACTTCATAGACATGTTTTTTATATTTTTTTATATATCTGAGACCTATGCTATTGCCTAAAAATAGCATGATAGGTTTAACACAATTAAATCAAAGTGAAAATGCCATTTTTAAAGGTAGTAACAAATTAGTCAACAGCTAGTCGACACATGACCAAAGACACAACGATAAACAATGTTTTCTAAGTTGATCTCGATCTCCATTCCTCAGGCTCTTTGAATACACGCCATGGGGGGGGCGGTGGTGTTGAAGAGCGGTCCCCAGACAGCCAGGCGGTCCCTTCAGTGGTGGTGGTGGACAACTACCCAGAGGTGGACAAGACCGTGCTTGTGGAGCGCATTGTCCGTCTGCAAAAGGCCCTCGCTCGAAAGCAGGAGAAAATCGAGTTCATGGAGGATCACATCAAGCAACTGGTGGAGGAGATCCGCAGAAAGACCAAGTGAGTGGAGGAAACAGAGCTGAAACTGCTATTTGTCAGTATTTGCTGCAACAATGGTTGGTAGTATATTCAAACAATACTGATAGAGGTTAGTTGTACTGTAGACGCAGTGTTTCAGACCATAAAGCTGGTTTGAATGGAACAGTAGTAGTGCAGTAATAAAACAGTTTTGACTGCAAGGTTGTTAACATGGCTTGTTTTAATAGATGCATTAAAAACAAGCATTGAATTATACAGGAAAAGTCAGAGGAACATAAAAAGTTTCTCACTAAAGAGAAGAGAATGCTCCGAGGTAGAATCAGGTCTAGGATGCCGCAACACGAGTCGTTGAGGTCACATACCAAATACATGTGTACTTGTACTCTGAAACATCCTGTGGAAACTTGTTTGGCCATTTTATGTGAAACCTGCATTGGAGAAAAGAAGCAAATACTCATGTAATAGTGATTTTCAGTGTGACAGGAGTAGGAGCAGTTTATTGCAGCTGTGTTGAAGGGCAACAAAGTAAAAGGACCTACTTACTTCCTTACTTAATAATTACACATGTTAAAAACCTCTTAGAATTTCATTTGAATGCACATGGATACACTGAGCAAACTACACTGCTGCATTGACAGGATAACTGGGAAACATTACATTTAATATTTCATTTTTATACATATTTATTTATATATGACCAAACAAAGCTCAACCTTGACAAATATTTGAGCACATCATTCCTCGCTCCAAAGTGCAATGCTTCACCTTGAAAACAGCATAGTGCATAAACAAGCACTTTATGGCCCCCTACCTCCCTGTGTGTGTCACGTCTTTAAATCACGCAGCACACTCCGCGACAAACCTCCTTCAGAACTATTTATAGTCGAGCTGATCAAGAGGGGGAAATGCATTGGTGTGGCTTCTTAATGATGGCTCATCCATATTCATGGCCATCACCTAAACTAAAGAGACAGTGTGAAGGACGCTAGAGCTATCTTAATCACATCGGTACTTTATGTATAGTTTAAGCCTTGAAGTGGATTGTGCACCAATGTCAGGATTAAATGTGGAGTGGGCATGATTTGAAACTCTCATGGGTAGAACCACACAGAGTAAACAGTTTTCTCTAGTGAGTAACATGTTATTCATTGATCAGATAACTCCAAACAATCATGAGTCTCTTGTTTCCTGATTACAATTAAATCCCTGCTTGATTCTACCTGGATCACTTCTCATATCTTTCTCAGCTCTACACTTGTATTGAATCCATTAGCCTCAACCTACATTCATGAGTTAAAATTGAGGGCGAATCCCACGGTTGTTGAGCTAAATTTAGCTCTGTAAAATCTCGGCTAAGCGGGTGTGGGGAAGGGGAGGGGGGGGGTTTCACTGCCCAGAATGTGGATGTGAATTTGTCCTTTTTGCCTTTCTGTCCCTATCCCTTCAGGACAGCCTGGTGAACTCTGATGAGATAACGGTGTCTTTGTTCATCACCTGCTTCACGCTTGCAGAGTGGTGGAAGCTTAGTGGGTCTCTGAGAAAGGACAGTCAGTGGAAGAAAAGCTGACAGCAGTGTTTTTGCTACTTTAAGCTCATTTACTATTAATGAATGTCACTCTTTACTATGAATGTGCACCCACAATTAAAAAAATAGAGTTTTGAAGTTGGGAGCTTGTATCAGGTAAAGTCTGAAAGAGCATTTAGAAACGTCCAATCAGAGAGCTTCAAGAGCTTTTAAAAATGCGGCGTTGTTCATTCTATGGTGGTATCTTTTTCTGTCAGTTTTGCATTTATTCGGCCCTGCAACGTGGAAGTGTTTTAAATCTCCTGAGCCTTTGTTTGTTTATTTTTGAGCACACCTGAATGGCCTCTTCTTAAAGTCAAGGGGGCAAAGGCTCATGGGTATTGCAGTATTTAGAGTCATCAGTCTTGCCAAACAAATGAAAAGAACATCATTTATTATGAAGTTGAACTACTGTAGGTAAAACCATTGCATTATCTGCGAGACTTTGCTACATGATTATTTTTAGATGCGTTTTGCTTATCATTCAGCCATACATTGTATTTCCCCAGCTGCTAGGAAGTGAAACACGGGTCATTGGCTACATACAGTATATGTGATTTGTAGTAAATGAGCTAAACATGCAGAAACAGATGCATCATCCTTCAAGGTTAATGATGTCTGTCCTTCAATACCCACACCTGGTTATGCTGAACATTAAGTCTGAATGGGCCTTTTATGTGACTTGAATGAAGCTGATACAAACCCGAGGAGAACGGCCGTCTGTTCACTACATGCAGATGGATACTTATCTAGGGAGCAACCCTTTTCTCTGTTAGTTGTAATCAATGCTCAGCACAATGAGGGTTATTAAGGATGCTGAATGTGTTTTAAATATATTAGAACGGGGCCTTTCAAGGTGATCTGGGATCTTTGTCCTGCAGTTACTTCATAATTAATTTCAGTTGATGTATAAGCCAGAGTGTAGTTTTTTTTGTGTTAATAAAGGAAGATCCATTTAGATTTGATCTTAAGTATTTACATTTATCAAAAATAGATGGTTGCAGCCTTTAACATAAAGCTGGTATTTCCCGACTTAATTCATGGTATTAGTCGTTCACAACCTTAAGAGGGGGGACTTTCACTGTAGTGCGCTCCAATATGTCATATTCGAGAGCTGTACTGCAGTCAGAATTTCCACCTTCACTTCCTGCATGCTTGACTTGCTGCCTTCATTGCTTAGTTTCTGCTGGGGAAAAAAAGGACATACTAACAAACCCCAACAGAAGTCATTGTCTTGCTCACACCCTGCCTGCCGCCGGCCTCTGCATGCCATTCAGCGCACCATGTGGCCACATCTTTCATTTCTGTCACTTTTTTTTGTTTTTACTAAAACACTGTCGTGATGGAACTGGGGTCCAAATATGGACCCTCGCAAGTCTAGTCAGAGGTAAGTCCCCTTTAATGTCTGTGCAAGCCCAGCTGTTGTGTGTTTTGTGGATGGGGAATCTGTGACAGTGGCTTTTTCTGTAGTGCTTCCATAGCGACTGTTTCATTTCGATCTTTTGCATGGCAGATTTTCTTGGTTTGATTATACATAGACTGTTTGAAGTCTACAGTAGGTCATGCATAAATATCAGGTTGACAAAATGAACGATTTTGAATACCAAGGAAGAAAATAGATTAATACATTTTTATATTAAAGGATGAAACTGATTTTTTTTTTCAGCAACACAGAGAAAGTCAGAGTTAACACTGTAATTGTATCCACACTATTTCAGAGTAGTCTTATGGTTTATATAAAGTAGTCTGTGCAACAGAAGTCAGCAGTTTTATCTTCTTATACTACAATTCTATTCATGCATGCTATATTCAAAAATATATTAAACTTATATCCTTGGCTGGCATGTTTTCAACCATTCAAAGATCTCTATCACAACAGGTTTCCTTAAATAGAACACTTACACTTGAAAGCTATCATTAAACTGTAAGCTCTTCAATGAATGCCTATTGCATGTCAAATATTGTAGCTTAACATTGAAAGAGAAAAATGTAGTCCACAAACTGCTTGCCATTCATTTGTATTTGTTGTATTTCTGACTAATTAGTAGTAGTAGTCGCCGTAGTAGAAATGGTTGTAGTAGTACATACTGTATGTATTCACCTAAATGGATTGACATTCCTTCCTGAGAATCCTTTTATGAGCTCTATGATGGAAATTGCTGAGTGGAAATCTAATTGCTAATCTGACTCAGGGTCAGGACCCTCTGCTCACCCCACAGTTACCCGCCTTTTAAGAAGCCTCTCTCGTGCACGTCCTGAATCTGAACTAAACAACGTCAGTATGGAGCTGAGTATTGTTGATGTTTAAGGTCGGTGCTTCAGGTGAACAGCTGTGTCGAGAGCTGGTTTTAAAATATTGATTAATGCTCCATCTCCTGAGGTTTACCGGCGGATGTTGACCTTTTCTGTAGGGCAGCACCTAACCCTCTTCACCAGCCCACGCTCCAGGAGAAAATGAAGAACCCAGTTGCCATTGCAAAAGCTTTTGAGTTCCAACCTTGTACGCATTTAATTTCTCTTTGATGCCTGGAGGGAGTCTGGCGCGAGCATTCTCATGGAGAAATGTTCTGGATGAGCTCCGAACACTCATTTCCTTAACCATGTCCTTTATCTTGAATACTGCTTTTTAGTATTCTCTTTTCTCTGGGGTGGCATATTAACAAAAATATGATAATGACACATGCGGTAATGAATTCCAGTCACAATGGCAGTCTCACACAATCTCTTTGGGTCTGTTTTCGTGTTAACGGAAACGCACTTGGTCGTCAGTGTTCTCTCTGGGAAAATTGGACAACAGGAAGTTTGGAGCTATTACGCTAATGAATTTCCCTCTCTGTGACACAAACATAGCTTAACCTCGACGCTGTTTTGTTATTCAGATGAAAATGAATTGGGAACAGGAAGATTTATCTCACTTTCACACAGGCTCGGTTGATTAATTGAATCCTGTCAGCCCATTCCAAAGCTGTCTTTTCCATTACCTTTCCTCCTCTGACTGGCAGAAAAATCATCTTTTGAACTATGACTGAATGTGTCCTGTGCGCACAAGTTCAACAAGCCATCCCACTGGAATTACTATTCTAGAAACGTCCACTGCTGCTGAAAATGGTTTTTATTCCTCTGAAGGAGCTCTCCATGCTCCTACCTATAAATCCTACTTTTTCAATTTTCTTTGCTCCACAGCTGACTCACTCTTTGCCTCTCCTTTATGAAGCATGCTGTTTGACTCCTGTCCTCCTCTTCCTCCCAATAGAATAATCCAGAGCTATGTGCTGAGAGAGGAGTCGGGGGCCCTCTCATCAGAGGCGTCGGACATTAACAAGGCTAACGTGAGTCGGCGGGGGGCATCATGGCGTCTCTTTACACCTCCCACCCGGCGGACAGGGCTGACCCTGGATCTGTCGCTAGAGATCAACAGGAAGCTGCAGGCTGTGTTGGAGGACACACTGCTGAAGAACATTACTCTGAAGGTAAGCAGGCATCATCGATAAGTGTAGTGAGCTTTGGATGTAGAATTCAACGCGTTGGTATTATTAATGATGTGTAGTTTGCAGTGCGTGATTAATTATGAGCTTAGATGACCTCAGAGGGTAATTAATTAGCTGTCATTGTCATGCGCCACTTTAACTTTTTAATTGTCTCTGTCTACTTTCAAAAATCATGTTAATGATCAAAATATAAAAAAGTTTTTCATTGGGATTATGTCAGGTTGAATGTAACATAGATTAGAAACAACAACAAAAAAGCACTACATTTTGTATTCATATAACTATTATTCAAAAATGTATTTGATTAGCAGTTTATTTGCTCTTATTGCACACAGAGTTGTCATGTTTGGTTTATCATGCTTTTGTAAAGGTTTTTATAATAATATTATTCAGGCCAAATATATTTCCCTTTTTTATGAAGACGGCATGTTAATGAACAGATCAGTATAGGAGAAATAATGTAAGATAGCAAAAATGCTAATTTACTATCCAAGTCTCTTGATAGGTTACAAAAGTAGTACATTCCGAGTGGCTATATACAGATACTACATTTAATACACCTTTTGTGTGTGTTTTCATGCATTTATCTAATCAAAGCATTTATATTTTTACTTTATTTTGGCATTTAGAGGTTTGGAATTTGTCATCCAGAAAATGAAGCTCATTTCCTTTAACACATCAAACCCACAGCAGCCTGTGAGCCTGCAGGATGCCTGTACTGTAGCACAGTATGGACTGCTCATGCAGAATACTGATGGGCAGCCTTCTTTAGTTTCTTAGGCTCTGGCTGTGATTATGACACTCGGGCATCACAGCCAACCAGACACATCCAGAAGCACGAGAGTGTTCCTGAGTTACTTTCAAAAAAATTCCATCCACTTGCTTCCACTGGTTAAAAGAAAGAATTTCACCACTTTATACATTAACTACAATAAATTCATGCAAATGAGTTTGAAATATGTATTTGATGTTTATTTCGGCTACATAAGGCATGAAAACAATTCAAGTTTATGAAAGTGGACTAGGTTATTAAAATTACACAGAAATAGAAACGCAGAAATAAGTTATAAATAAGATGTTTTACCGATTCTACTTAAACAACAACACTACAGGGATGGTAAAAAAAAACACTACTATCAATATGATAGTGTTACGTTCCCAATTGGGCTAGGAGGACCAAAAGGACACGACACGACCAGATTGGAATTGGTATACGTTACCGGTGGTTTAATTGTTACTGCAAGTAAGTAAATGATGTAGGCTACACAAACAGCTTGGCCCAACAACGGGTCAAGCTGTCACTATTCAACAAAAGGGGTCTCCAAAAGAGGAAAAAAAAAAGGAAAGAAAATCTCACTTCTAAAGTGGAAACAAAACAATAACAAAACGGACTGTGGAAGAACACAGCTGGTGCGGGTCTACAGGTGCTAATCACCTGGATCTACGCAATCCACACAAGAATGCGGGTCTACAGGCGCTAACCACCTGGGTCTAAGCAATACACACAAGAATGCTGATCTACAGGCGCTAACCACCTGGGTCTAAGCAATACACACAAGAATGCTGATCTACAGGCGCTAACCACCTGGGTCTAAGCCAGTGTTTCTCAAACTTTTTCATACCAAGGACCACTTAACCAATCAAAAACACTCGCGGACCACCCTAACTCCACAAATATCCAAAAACACATCGTTTTTTACAAATCGCCTGAAAATTGTACAAACAAGTGGCAACATGTGTGATGAAGGTGTTTATCTGGGTTTTATCATGCAATCGAAAGTGAAACTTAAGCTCGCTCCATTGCGGAGATTTCCCGCGAGAGTGCGGAAAACTTTAATTAATTAATTAATAAAAAATGTGAAATTTTACCAATATACTCACGGGCCACTAGGGGGCGCTCACGGACCACCAGTGGTCCGCGGACCACACTTTGAGAAGCACTGGAGCAATACACACAAGAATGCTGATCTACAGGCGCTAACCACCTGGGTCTAAGCAATACTCACAAAATGCTACAACACACTGCTAAGCAGTCGAGCGAAGCACACAACACACACTGCTAAGCATTCTAACGAGGCACAGAAAACACACTGCTAACAGAATCACAGAACGAAGGCTTTGTCACAATGAGAGGGTTGAGGCATCCGTCACACAATACAGAGCCTCCCGAATGGATGGTGTCCGTGCCCAGCCTTTATACTCCTCCCCCGGATGACGTGGCAGAAGCGAGCAGGGATTGGGTGACGTCTGTCCAATCGCCGCGGATGTTGAGAGGTCGGGACGGCCAATGATAGCAGAGGAACTGCACAGCTCATTTACATCTACACACCACCAGAGTTAAGGGCACAAGGTAGCAGCGGCTGTAACAGATAGTTTAAAGGTGGATAAATGGGGGAGTTTAATCAAAGCACAGTGGACATCGAGCCAGCTGCTACTTTCTATCCATTGAGGTTGTCTCACATTTGGCTCGTATATTCCAAACCTTTTTAGAGAGATATTGAAACTGTGGTCTAATAAAAGACGTGTTCCTCCTTCTTTCTACTTCATGTGCTTCATGAAGTGGATTCAAGCCTATATTCACAGCATCCATTCAGCGCTTGTGTATGTAAGCTTTGTCCGTGTCCTAAGGGTCTTTTATATTCCTTTAATAGAATTAGGATTTCAACTGGACAGATTTTCTGATGTGTAGGTGGGAAATGATGAATCCCTTCCACCTCTCAGTTTTTTAACAGCAGCCTGTCTGAAGAGGTGATGCGGCCAAATGACGTACCTTTAAGAGATGTAGCGCCAGGGATCAACGCTCTGTTTTTTATTTCAATTACATTTAATTATTAAAATCACAAAGAACTTAAAGAATAAACCATGAAGTGCATAAATAGGGACTTATTTTGCTTGTATAAATTAGTCCTCATTGAAATATGCACATTTACCAGACATAGACTAGTCTTAATTTAATTATGTGTGTGGAAACGAATGAAGAAGATGTTAGTCACTTTTGTTATAAATTCTTAATGAAGTAAATATATACCGTCAAGAGTGCACGATGTTCTTCAAAACAACTGAACAATGTCCACAATTTCTAGATACTAGAACGTGTCAAACCTATCCACATTAAATACAGTGCGCACAAACTACCTTTCAAACATTGAGATATCAAAAAGCTGAAAAATAAAAATATTATACTGCACCTACATAGTCCTGTTTTCATTCATAGTTACTGCCTCTCTTAGGTTCCTTTGTCACACTTTTGTTAGATGCTTTAAAAACAAAAAAAGACAATAGATGTTAATTGTAATGTGGGAGTATTTTTTTTTCTGCAGCGACTTTTGTTTCTGTGGATGAAAGATGATTGGCAGTAAGCAGGAAGAAATGAACACTCAGCGTAGGCACAATAATGAGACAATGAAACAAAACACTCTCTCAAAGCCCAATTAAAGCTTCACATCTACCGTGATGAGTAATTTGGCTTTGGCCATTTTCAAATCTGTGATAATTGTTTTACGTTTTTAAATATTGATTACAGTTTCTAAAAAAAGTTGTGACAATACGTGCTATGTTTCGTTAGTTCCTACTCTTATTATTAAAAAAGTAAAGGTCATCCAGGCTTTAAATGCCATTTTTGTACTGACAATATATTTCTATATAAAGTAAGAAAGAGCAAAATGCTGGACATGCAGTCACAGCACACCAGTTCGTCTCAGGAATCCCGAATTAAACGTTGTTTAAGTCTAAAAGTCTTAATTTTCTTTAACAGGAGAATCTACAGACCCTGGGCTCCGAGATTGAGCGGCTCATAAAGCAGCAGAGAGACCCTGAGGACGCAGTAAGCAGGAAGTGACACTACCATGTCACAGGAAAGAGGAAAATAAGGGCCAAGGATGACTTATAGAACCTACCATTTTGAAGTGACAGCTATATCCTCACTCTCACTCACATGAAGGAGCAGATTGAATGTTGTAAGTGCCAGTATCACCTCAGGCTGTGTTTTCCGGAGGCCCTGTTGAACTCTGTCCATTTGTCTGAAGTTACTTGAACTATCGTTATTCTATCCACATTGTAACACCTCGTCTGACACAACAAATCTTCCTCTGGCTAACGTCCCTCTCCCCCTGAGCCAAGATAAAGTCCTCGGGCCAGTTGTTTCAAGCTGAACATTCTTAATTGCCTTGTAAACAAGTTGATTGAAGGTCCATCATCATGAATGTATAGCACATTTGACATGGGGAAGTAGTCAGAAAATGATTTGCCAATTAACTCATCCTATAAAAACTATATTTATTCTTCATGTAAACTGAAACAGATCCCCCAGCATGCCTGCTCTCAGCTTGTCTCCTGTCTGCCAATAAGCCACATTTATTTTTGAAAAGCTGCTTGACGACA